TATATTCTAGTTCAATTTCAACCCGGAACTTCATTAACACTGCATAACGCTTCTGCAATGCAAGCGAAAGCTAATTATTGTTGCCGGGATAATTGTCTCGCTCAGTCGTTGACCTACGACGACTATTTACGTTAAATTTAATTACAAACAAAACTATACGATGGCACTCTGTAGTCTACACTTCACGCTGATATAAAACTGTAAAAACGTACCCTATTAGCCTTAAAAAAAATTTCTACAAAGAAACAATTTTATGTGTAAAATATAACAATGGTGTTATAAAAAAGCATATGTTAATAATTACCTATCAAATAATTTTCAAATTCAAAAGTTGAAACTATATTAAAAATTTGATAAAGTTTACAAAAGTACAGGTGTGCAATTCTGATTTCACATTTTATGTTTACTTTTGAAAAGTGTACTGTAATATTAATTTTATTTTTTAGCCTATTTGTTTCCTTTTTTTAGTTGAAAAGTTGATTTTTAAGAGAAAAGGTGAACTTTTTAAATGGTTGTTCCAATAAGGTACCTTCTAAGTAAGATTTCTTATCTAAGGTTGCTACGCGATGAAATTGGTAAAGCTTTAGAAAAAAATAAAAACACATTATTAAAAAACAATATGTTCTCAGCTTTTCATCGAAGCTATAAACATGTTTTACAAAACCACTCGGCAGTCTGTACAGAAATAATACCACAAAACATAATATGTTAAGAGGGATAATGATGTTCATATACCCTAAGAACTTATGGGAACCATTTCGTTCCTTAGAGTTTATTTTCAATGCCGCATCTATCTATATGCTACTCCGTTATTCTTGTGTGAATACTTAATTGAGCATATGTGACAGGTATAATGGAATGTAAACGAGTAACGATGCCACAGCTCATTAAGTTTCAATGAAACGGCTTTATGTGTTATGTACTGTTGATGCGTGTATATAAGTACCTAGTCGACTAATAATCTTAAAACACAATTATATTATATTATGCGAACAAGCAAATCATGTGTACAACGAACGCTAGTAGTAAACTTGTTTCAAAACTTTAAACTTGTCAATAATATTAATTTTCACGAAATTACGACACCTTAAAAGGTTATATTTTATGAGCAACGATAAAAGTAATTTTAAAAAAAATACTAGATAAAAATGACTAATTAGATTATTATATGTATATAATAATCTAATTTAATATTATATCATATAGTAATATAAAATTATAAATACATTAGCTTTACATGTACAAATATAATACGATATATTTTGTTCGTCGTATTTTACTGTGTCAAAAATATTTTGGGGGAATTTAAGCATTTCCGAAAGTTATAACACAATTATCTTCTATAAATGTAATTTACTATCCGGGAAAATTACATTTACCTTACGGTAAAAATACCTCACTCTATGACTTTCCAACTTGAATTAAAATACGGATTAACCTTAACTCGCACGATATTACTTTCTACCGTTGACACATAAGACACCTAGTTAATTAATAGTGTAGTCTTATTCTTTATTCTCGTTGAACAAAATATACTTGTATTCTACTTCGTCTTCGACTCTGTTTTAACCGTACTTATTGCCTATGTAAATTTTAAAATTTAGTACTAAAATCGTATGCGAATTTTATATAATTATAATATAGGACCACAATGTTTAAGCTTTTGCTGAAACTTATTTAAGCCTCCAGAGTACAGTAAAGCTAAAGTTTAGCAAATTAGTTCTGAACTTCATAACGCATTCGTAAAATAATAAATAAAAATGTAAATGACCGAACATTTTTTTTTTTTTGCACACAACGAAAACAAAGAAAACCTCTCAAACTGGTGGCATGAGAATGACCTCACTTCAACAAAAAAAAACTGGGGTAATAATTACGAAGTCATTAATATATAACCCAAACAAACTCATAACAAAATAAACCCCAACAAAATCAAATTCAGAAGACTAATTATTTCCCCGAAACATATTAAATTATTGTCAAGTCTTTATGAAAAAAAAAACGTAATGAGCACTTTTTGAATGATTTTTGGTGTTTCTTGTACAATGCAGATTGGCTGTGATATATTTTAAGTGTAAAAGAAAGTAAATTTCGATAATTTGTTTTTTTTAATAAACAATAGTTTCTTATTGGAATAAATAAATACATTTTTTTAACGCCAGCATGAAAACAGAAACCTTTGTTGAAAAGCAATTAATGTTTTTTGACACAAAAACGAGAGTTTTTTTTATCCTTTAGTGATATAAAAAGCCAATAACAATGTCATTCGGAAGAAAACAATGTGTTTGACGTTGCCTTAGCTGAATTGTTTTATCTTAAATAATATTTAAATAATAATTTAATAAATATTAAATCAGTTTTTATAATAACAAAGAAAATGGATTTCCGTCTTAATACAATAAAATACGGGTTCCCACTAAATGTCTATATGCCATAATATTTTATGTATTTATTAAACAGGATTGTTCTAAGTGATAATACATATAATATATAGATATAATGTTTTATATAAATTCTAATAATACAAATTGATACTATCTCGGTTTTATGTATTTTTATGATACCAGCATACATATTTTTTTTATATGATATTCAAGCAATATATATCAAAACCAAATATGAACTAAATTGTTGTTTTAATTAATCATATTGTATTTATATGGCTTCAAACAATTAATAATAAAGAAGCTAAACAGAATACGCATATTTTCTTTAAAAATAAAAGTAAAAGAACCGTATTACTTTGAATACCTACAAAACGTCAATAATTAGTACATATAGTTTAAATATAGTCGGAAAAAGTATTTGTTTTAATAAATATATAAAAAGTAATAGAAATTTGCATTCAATCTAAAACCACCGTTTGAAAAACAAAGGCTATGTATGTAAACTATATTGTGATAGACCGCCCACATATTTTATAATTGAAATTATTTTATTATAAAACACGAGAAAAAGTTTAATAAATGTTTTTTTTTTTTTTTGTAAGCGTTTCAGTATAGCTGAAGTTTGTCTTATACTATCATGAATTCTACTATTGTACAATAGAACAAACAATACTAGTCCTTGTTTAAAGTGGAAATTCAAAGAAGAAAAAAATACATATTCTAAGCACGTAACAACACAAGAAGTTGAAGTTTTTGTACGATTTTGTTTTTGACATCCCTGTGGAGCTGAGAAGTTATTGTTTTTACAATGAAGCGTTGTTATTTAGATGAGTACCTATTGCTATGCTGTCTCATTTATGTTTTTTTTTTAATAAACATTAAATATACATGAACTCGATAAATATAAATTTCTGTTGATTTGATATGTAAGCAATAACCCACTTTGCTTTATGATTTGCCGTTTTCAAGAATCGAAAAAGTAAAATTAAGTGACTGCCGGTTTTTAAAAACTGCATATGTTATAGTCCCACTTTAGATCTACATTCGATCTAATTTTCAGACCTAAGACCCTAAAACTATATCATAAAAAGCGAATGAAAGTTCCTATCCCTTCTGGAAGTAAGAGTTTTCGATATTGTTTTGGTTTGTCAACCTTTATCGATAGTACTATATCTAAAAAATATTCCATACATACTTAAAACTAATTTGACTATTTTTTTTTTAAGTTATAGCGCACCTAACATTTTGATTTGAAAAATATGTATACATGTTTGGGGCGTTTTTCTCGATTTTAAAGGAAAGTGAACTTTTTTAAATGTTGGCCTTTTGAGTACCTTTTAGGTACGATTTCTACAGAGTTTCTACATGGAAAAATCGGTTCAGCGGTTTAGAAAAATTATACTTATAATTAAAACTCATTATTGTAAAAGAATATACGTCCTTAGCTTCGAATCGAAGGTTAAATGTAAAGTATAAAGCCAATATTTTAAAACTAAAAGTTATCGTAGAGATTTCTTTATAAAATGATGGAACAAGCCAGATTTTAAAGAATGGCACATAAATGTAATGCACAACATAATAGTGACAGAAAGTGGTTGATTGCACTTTCAATCGCTTTGGGTTATTTATCAGGATTGAGTTAATGTTGCGGACACACTAAGCTTAAGGACCCTCTGGCGTGAAGACAAGTTTTTAGATAAACTGAGGAACGTTTTCTGGTATCGATTTGTTGGCATAACGTAAAAACAAATAAAATATAAAATTAAAGTGATCCCAGATATTTAAAACAACAGCGTGGAGAAATAATTATAATAATAAAAATATAAACTCATTGCGCTCATATTCATATTTTTAAAAACTTATTATTTTTACATAGAAAATATCTACGTATATATAAAAAAATGTAAGGAATTTTTACAGGAAACGGTTACTAGAGTAATTGCACAATTTTTTTTTGGATTGTTTCTTTTTTAAAGATGTAGTATAGTATAATATAATACATTTATTTCTGTTTACCGTTTAACTTTATTATCCTATATATTACATTATTCTACCTAAAATATACATAATTTTAAATGTTGGATTTTGGAGAAAACAATAGAGTCATAACATGAAAACATACAGTCACGAGTGGGACTAAACAAATAACCCTGATATATTATATACATATATATAATATAGGAAATTGTTTTAAAAAAATATGAAAAAATACTTGAAAAAATTACTTACAAATTATTTAAGCACGTAGATTTAAAAAAATTTTTAAATAATTTTCACTGGAATAAAATTAATGTTATCTAGATGATTGTTTGGATAACAATGTATTTGATTATTGGGCACTCTGATTGTAGAGTAGAATATCTCAGGTATATGCACGCGCGTATTAAAGTTGCCTACACATAACGCCGGTATACATTTTTATCAATAAAAATCGCCCAAAATCGTCCGAACTCGTGCAAAAAATGATTATTCAAAAATCGTTTGAAATCAAACTTAAGCCAACTTTGATGCGATACATCCGTTATATATCTTATATTCGTTAAGACTGTATTCCGTTTCTACGACGAAAAAAAATATGATAATAATAATAATTTAATAAATGTAAGTACGTACCTTGCAGTTGAATCTCGACGAAGAAAGTCTTGACAGAACTAAAAAAAAAAATTACATTCTAATAAAAACGTACTAACGTTATGAAGTCAGTATTCACTCGGCGCCGTTAACGTTTGCCGGCTTTTTACAAGAGACGGTGGCGACAGACTGCCGGCAACGAGATGCTGAGAGCACGCCTTACTCCACGTTTTACATGGGGCGACATCTATCTGGTGTCCGGTCCAAAAAAAAAATATATACATATATAATATTCAAAAAGTTTACGATATTTGTCGAAATGACACTGTACAATATAATATACTATTATGCGAAAAAAAAAATACTACGAAAATGCGCGCCAATGTATTATTACAAGAATTGAAAAGGGCGGTTTTTATGCAGTTTTTAGGATTATGTATGAGTATGAAATATTTCACTAGCAATTTTCACTCTACATTTTATTTTTTTTTATACTTGATTTCTTAGTAATGTGACTCTATGGTCAATATCTAATTACCCAAACAAATTTACACAATTTCTCATAAATTTACCATATCTATCATTGCTATTTTAACTGACCTACATTATACAAATCTACATGATGTATACTATCGTGGTCTTTGAATAAAGGTCAGTGAAAACAGCAATGATAGATTTAGATGATGAAATATCTGACATGAACATATTTCATTTATTAAAGTTGTTATTTTAGTAATATCCATTAGGCATAAGAGGCATTTTTTTTTGTTGATATTTTTAGATAATTAGTGCAAGTCTGCAAGTCTGTTGATAAAGTCCTATTATTTTATTTTATGTTTCATTTTTATCAGCTTTTTTTTATACAAAGCAACCTGTACAATAGAAACCACCATGTTTTTTAAAATTATTTATTAGGTAGTTAAAAATAATTTTAGCCACTATTTGATTCATGTGATCTATAATCTAGACATTACACAACAGCCCCTTAGTAACTTGCTAATATGTATAACACTGTTTCGTCAATGGACAATGATCAATTATTAAAATATATTTATAAATGTTTTTTTTTTTTTTATTATAAATTATGAACTATTAATTTTTTATATAGTTGGTGTATAATTTTTATTTCGTTTTATAATTTAAGCTTAAAACTTTTATTAAGAAAACTATCATATACTTATAAAATATTTAAATAAACCCTTAACCACAAAAATAATACTGTACAACGTATATTAACTAGCCGAATTAAATGTATATTTGGTACAAATTTAGTTGTCCAACTATTTATTTAGTTATTTTAACTAGAAATTTATTGTGTTCCCTATGGCCCTATATTAACCATAATTTTAGTTGGACCAACTATGTACTTTTTTCTGTGCACTTGCATTCAATATAATATTGCTATCAAGTTTTACATTAAATTTAATTGCACAAGCGTGAACACGCCAGAATCTATAACTTAATTTTATTAGCCGTTACTTTAAACTACTCAAATTGAACCATTTTGGGCATCGTTTCCGTGGTGTAGCGGTTATCACATCTGCCTAACACGCAGAAGGTCCCCAGTTCGATCCTGGGCGGAAACAGGAACTTTTTTTTTAGTTTTTTATTCATTTTTTTTTTAGTTTAGCTTAACAAATTATTCAGCGTTCTTTCATTTTTTATGTAAAATTTACCAATTTGTTTTATCATTAAGATACATTTTGTGATAATATTATGCATTATTATTATTTTTTTTTACAAGCAGCCAAAGTAGATATTTATAGTTTTAATTAAAGCTTACAGATTTTCTGAATGTGTTTTTTAACAGGAAATATGACATTTTTGTGAAATTATAGCTATGTAGTACGATATTATAATTGTATATCCTTTAATACAATATTACGTTAAAAAACAATTTTAAAAAAACTATGTATAGAAAAAAAAATTTAAGACAACTTATACTAAGGAATATCAAATATGTATAAAGTATATTATGTACACTCATGCAGCAATATTATCATAATTCTTAAAGTTTTTCGTTTTGACATTTTTATGTATGTAATAATTCATTCATTTTTATTTAGCTCGTTTTTATGTTAACATATCATAAATGCTTCATAAAATAAAAGCTAATGCTAAATCTCATTTTTACTTGTTACAGTGAAGTATTTTGTTGAGAATGCTAAAGTTATCCATATTATGCTACATAATAATGTATAGTTTAGAATTATAAAGCTTCTAACAACATGATTTAAAAGTAGTTCTATAAATAAAAATAAAAATTAATTCCTTAAAAATTAAGCATTTTTGTTTTTTACTTTACTTAAATGCTTTTACACTAATGTCAAGTAAATTAGCAAAAACAGTGACATATATTTATATGCAACGAAACAATATACATTTTATTTCTATATGTCTTACCTACACAAATAAAATAACTACTTCAGCTTTATAATTTTTTTAGGTTCGATACCTAAACATTTAAACTTTTATAGACATCAGTCTATATAATAAATAATAATGTTTTTTTTATAAACATAGTAAATCAAATTAAAGAATAAAGAATTCGAAAAGCCATAATAAATGCTATAACGGTAAAACGCTAAAAGCGGTAGAACACTGTGGTTTACCAGTAGAAGAAGAAAAAAAAGGAGGTAATGGAATAAAATAGTTACTAAAAGTTTACAACAAAGTAATGTGTGAAGTGAAAAGGCTGAGGGTTGCTTGGAAAATAAGTTATTTAGTTCACGCTTTAAAAATAACTAATAAAATAAATCTCCAAGAATGTGACAGCTGCAAAATTATTGAGTCACAAAATTGAACTTTTAAGATAAGCATTAGAAAATAGGAGTTGAAACCACCTGAGGAGTGAAACGAAGGTATTCAAAAATCAATTTAGGTCAATGAAGCCAAAATGTTGTGTAGGGAATTAATCGAGAAACTTAGGGAGTAAATGAAACAAATAAGATCGGTCTTAAAATCTTAAAACAAATTAAATAGGGATATTTCGAAAGAGAGCCTTACTTTCTCTATTTATATATGACATAACGCTAGTAAAGAAAAGATGATCATACTCGATTTTTTTAATATAATAAAGTATTTAAATAAAATATGCTCATTAAAGGTTTAATAATAAATAAACATGTATGAATACATTATTTATAAACCTAGAGTACCTACTCTAAATGATTTTAGAAAATGTTTAAAAAACATACAAATCCTTGCAATACCGAGGGATTTTCAATTGATAAAATAAACAGTCTACTAGAGTACACAACTATATTAGGACACTGAATACTCAAATAAACATTTGATAACTTTTGTATTTTCCATTATACGCTATATTGTATTAACAGATTGAAAAACGAATTTGTAAATCTGCAGAAATTTAGTCTTAAAACTTTCTCTATGTGAAATATAGTATCTATATTGATTATGTATTCTAGTAAACGTTGCCTTCTCGTATTTTAATTTATTCGGAGTTGATAAATTGTTACAAGATATGCAGATACAAACAAAGTTTTTTAAAAATGTCTTGCACGAGTTAACCTACAAAAAAACCTATTCATTATTTTTTATTATTCGCTGGCTTAAAGAAAAAATATCAACGGATATCTTCAACAGGGACAACATTGTATACGGCAATGTCTTTAGAATGTAAAGGGTGCGAAAAGTGCGAAAAATGTTTATTTGCTCATAAAGTAACTTTATCTTAGCCGAGAGATCCAAGACGTTTTCATAAAATTCTATCCCTTTATTTTTTTTATTTTACGAGCAAAGAGGGTTTCTATGTTTGTGCTATTTGTTCTGGAGATAAATTAATTCACTCTTATTTATTTAGTAGGTTGAGTAGTTTAAATAAAATAACATCGATACACATATCTTAGCTTTTAGCCCTTAGATGCGGAACTCTATAGTTTTTTATTATCTACAATGAGTTTTTCCTATATTTGTCTACTCTGTACAGGATATCTATGGTGGAAAGACATATTGGTTTAGCAAATCGCTGAACCGATTTTTTAATATCGACTCTCCAAAACGGTTCCATGTTGGGCTCTGAAAAAACCTATCACTATCATAATCACAACTGCTAACCTGGGGACCTCACCTCAAAGAAAAAAGGAAAAAATCAAATATAAGATTACATCTTTTCCGCCCTTTACTAAAGTCTAATCTGTCACTCAAGACTAAACTGCTTATATACAAGTCAATAATTCGTCCAATATGGGCCTACGGAATACAAATATGGGGACCAGCTAAACCGTCAACAATAAGACCAATACAGGCGTTCCAAAATATTTCACTGCGAATGATTGCAAACTCTCCTTGGTACATCTCAAACAATAATCTACATAAAGACCTGCAAATAACAACTGTTAAAGAACTTGTAAAAATACACTACTTCAGATTCCACTCAAAACTAAACTCAAACTCAAATCCCCTAATAAAGCGCATGCACACGACTAGTATCCCCGGCAACCCTCCACGCAGACTAAAACGTAACTGGAATAGAGACTTATTAACATAAAATAAACAACTTAACATAACTTAACTATAGAGGTGTTACCAATGGGTGGCTTCCTCCTCACGATATACAAGCCTTGTAATATAGATAAAAAAACAAAAAAAAAAAACTTATTGTACATATATAATATTGTATAGATTGTTTTGTATTATTAATAAAGGGAAAAAAAAAAAAAAAAATCACAACTGTAAAACGTCGAATCGTTTTTGTTTCTTTTGCTCAAAAAGAAAAGTTAGTAAAGACGAGTAAAGATTAACAATTTTTTGCACAAAGCTCTTCGCTGAAAATAATCCAAACCTAAAAATAAACCAAAAAACTATTGTTTTTTGAAACACAATCTATAATCCAAAACCAAAGTAGGTAGTTGAACAGACAAAAATATTATTGGTTTTCTTTCATATAATTACATATATTATTTGTAATTTGTTTAAATTTGTATGTCTTGAGTTTATTTTAAATAACGTAAGAACTTTCCTATCAGCTTTATTGTTTGAAAAAATAATGCAATTCGAGGAAATTGAAAAAAGTGTTAATATTTTTATTTTTAACATAGAATTTGCGTGTTTTTATTATACACTTTTTATTAAATTATTTTTATAGATTTTCTTTTGGAAAAAATTGTATTTATGTAATTGTAAAATAGTTGGTAAATCTTTATCTACATAAAACAACTCCCTACGGCTGCCGGCTTCGCGAGCCAACTCAAGCCCCTTCGGGACTCTTCGTTGGACCCCCAGAGGAAAAAATAGCTTGCCTAAAGGTCTAAACTAACCTAACCTACCGCTCTGAAAACGTCAGAGACCCAACGAGTCCTAACCTATCCTCGCGTCGCCAACTGCCGCCGACCGTTGCCTATAGTTTTACAAGCAGAAATATGCTAATTTCAAATAAACTAAATGAGTCCGTCTGGTTCTGACTTTAGATCCGTAATCAGCGTAAAAAACACTATATTATAGCACACGAAAATCGCAAAGAAAGGGTGTCCGGTAAAGTGAATTTGTTCCATAGGTAAGGCGCGGTCGCCGGTCCGTTTTTATACAGGTGTACCTATGCCGTATGCCCGTATGGTGTTGAAAAATATTCAACGTTGAGTATTATTCGTATTATAGATAGGTCAACGATGATCCAACGGCGAACCGTCGATAAGCCGACGACAAACCGATAGCCGCACGATATACGATAAAAATGGCAACGCCGGTCACACTGTTCGTAGTCAATGTTTTCTTTAACTGATAATAATATTCAAGATATAAAATGGCCGTCGAGGGAATTTTTTCATTGCCACTGCCGTCCGCCAGTAAACTGTTGGAAGTGGCGACTAAATTTTGCTCTACGTCAACGGTAAAAGTATTTCTATATAATAATAACATTATTTCCCATCGAATGGCCATAATTGAATTATTGTCAAGGTATTATATATGTTTTGCGACTGATTCCCGCGATGGTCGTAGAAAAATAGTATCATTTCCACCAAAAAAACCGTCGCCGGCAACAGCTTAACGGGACGTTTTTGTTTGCTTTTTGTTAACCGTGTTTTCAACGACGAGGTGTGTGTTAGACGTCAAGTTCATCCACCACATTATATTTTTGATTGATCCATTCGATTTTTCTTAATATGATATTGTTTATTATGATCGGTGTTAAGCGATAACGAACAAAATACATGGTGTAAATATTAATTGTTTCTACATTAGTCCACTGGTCGTTATCATTATTAATCGAATTTCTTAATACCTATTCATTTTTCCTTCTCTACTTGCCAGCAAAACTGGTAAACTCGTGCCCGATGTATAAAAACGCTTGTTAACGTTTGTCTTTTGCTAAACATGTTTTACTCGTATTGTTTCAGGCATTGATATACACTTGAACACAAGAAAATGTCTCAATTCTTAGATTCAGAAGCCGAAGAGAGCGAAGTTAGTATTGCGCACAATTTTTTTATATATTAATTATGCGATTATTGAATGATTCGTTAAGTTAAATTGTATCGACCAAATTGGTAAAGTATTAAAATTAATTCATGGGTTTTTATTTCTCATTTTTTTTTTATAGGACGAAGAATTAGATGAGATCGATAAGAAAAAATCCAAAAGACTCAAAGCAATGGAAAGCGATGATGACGACGACGAAGGTAAATACTGTTTTTTTTAAAACAAATCAAAATTTATACACTTAGACAGCAAATATTCTCCAATTTCAAAGTTGATTAATGTTTAAAATTATTTTAATGATGACAAATCACTGCGCAAATCTGAAATGCACATTGTTTCCAAAATCTTTGCGTTTTGTTGAGACATGAGTGTATATTATGTCTTGAATAGAATCTGAAAAATATATTATAAAATAACTAAGTGTAACTAATCAATAATGATGTAGTTTTTTATTAAGGGAACTACACCTGTGTAATTTTGATCGAAAACAACGCAATCTAATTTTACTTAACATTTACAGTTTAACCGTATTCTAAAATGCGTAGTTCGACAATCATTTTTAAAACAGTTATAGATTTTTCAATACTTGCTTAATGTATCGATTGAATTACATTTTTAATTAACGTTTTTAATATAGAAAAATCTTTAAAAATTCTAATTCTTCAAATAGAAGTTATTATTATAATTTTTTAAATATGGTGCCATGATTAATAATCTTTGTAAATGTTTTGAAGAATCTAAATATTTTTAAAACATGTTTTTATACAAAACTAGAGCCTGTATGCACTATAGAAGTTAAAAAAAAAATGTATTATCAAAATAGATCTCGCTTTCTTGTGTTAATATATATGTTTACAAATTTTAGCTTAATGTTAAGTTCTAGTGAAAAACTGCCTATTCAATGTGCTGTCATATATGCTAGTGTAGAGGCAATTAATTTTATCTATAATATTATAGAATAATACAAATGTTTGTTTAGATGATGAGGAAAGAATTCGGGAGGAGTTAAAAGATTTAATTGACGACAACCCTATTGAAGAAAGCGACGGGTCGGGTGACGAAAGTGATGGGTCTAAAAAAAGAAAAAAATCTGATGATGATTTTGATGATCGGCTTGAAGAAGATGACTACGATCTTATTGAAGAAAATTTAGGTGTAAAAGTAGAACGCAGAGTAAGTTTTGATTTGTAAATTTGTTAGTTGAGATTTTTGTAGTAATAATAAAAAACTTGCTTTAGAAACGTTTTAAACGTTTACGGCGTTTGGAAGACGAAGAAAGTGATGATGAGGGGCACGGTGAAAATCCTGCCGAAGATCGTGAAGTTATTGCTAACCAATTGTTTGACACGTCGGATAATGTAAGTCGAACTTGGCCTTGTCGGTTGCATTATTATATATTTTACAAACCCAATATTTTTCCATTGTTTAGGAAGAAGACAGAAGATCTGATCGCGCCCCTTCCAGAGCCGAGCGTGTTGATAATTACAATATCGAAGGTGACGAAGAAGGAGAAGAGTACTCCGATGAGGACGACGATGGTTTCATCGTTGATGATGAAGGACGACCAATTAAAGAGAAAAAGAAAAAACGCAAGCACGTTTACCATGATGCTGCTCTTCAAGAAGCTCAAGATATTTTTGGTGTGGACTTTGATTATGATGAATTTGAAAAGTACGATGATGAATATGAAGAAGACGCTTCTGACGACGATTATTTGGAGGATGACGAGGACGGTGAAAGGAGACACAGGCCGAAAACGCAAAAGCGGAGAAAGACCACTAGGAAATCTATTTTTGAAATTTACGAACCCATCGAACTTAAAAGAGGGCACTTTACCGATTTAGATAATAAAGTAAACTTATACTGTGATAACACTGTTAGGTTTAAGCAATCGTACGAGTATTAATTTAATTATTGCTGCTCATAGATCCGTAACAATGACATACCAGAAAGAATGCAATTACGTGAAGTCCCAGTGACACCGGTTCCTGAAGGTTCGGATGAGTTAGAGGATGAAGCAGAATGGATATACAAGCAAGCGTTTTGTAAACCTACGCTTTCCACACAAGTATGTTTATTAATTGCTCAATATTAAATTTAAATGATAATAATTACTGCTTGTTTCAGATTTTGTCTAAGAATAAATTATAAGTTTGTATAATATATTTATGTTTTAGGAAAACAAAGGCGGAGCTGATCCTCGAATTCAATCTAAAAAAGGGCCGCAGACAATAGGAAAAATTAAAAAAGCATTAGATTTCATGCGCAATCAGAACTTTGAAGTGCCATTTTTAGCTTACTACCGTAAAGAATATGTCGAACCTGAATTAGACATTAATGCATTATGGCGAGTTTATCATTTTGATGGAAAAGTAGGTTTATTCATAGTACAGTTTGATCCTGATACCCAAAAATTCTGTAAAATATTGAGTTAAAACTCATTATGCATAAGTTAAACAAGAAATTGTCTATTAGTCATTAATAATTAACATACACGAATGTGTAAATGTGTTATTGAGTATTGTTTTTCTGGGTATATTTGTATAATTAACAAAATTTTAACAATTTAATGTGTTTTTTTATCTTAGTGGTGTCAGCTAAAATCACGTAAAACCACACTAATTGAATTGATGGAAAAAATGCGTAACTATCAAATGGAAATGTTAATGGTGGACACAAACGCGCCGATGCCAGATCACATACGTATCATAAAGGAAGAGGACATTGATAAATTACGTGGTGTACAGACAAACGAAGAACTCAAAGACATCCAAGGACATTTTATGTTGTACTACGCTAGTGACGTGCCTGCGATGCAGGAGAATGTGAGAAAAAAAGCAATAGAAAGGAAAAGAAGGAACAGGGAAATGCGAGAAGAAAAAAGAAAGTTAGCCTTGGAGGCCGGCGAAGAAGTACCTGAAGAATTGGAAGACACTGGCGATTTAGAAGATGAAGAAGACAATACAGAAACTGTTAAACCCGCGAGCAGTTCTGGTCCATATACTATGTGCCTCAAAGCTGGACTTGGTAAGTAATCGAATCCTTAATAATTGTAGCATTCAAATCAATTGTCATTTTTTTTTTACCAGCCGGGTTTGCTAAACGGTTTGGTTTAAAACCTGAACACTTCGCTGTAAACGTTCGCGACAATTACCAAAGACACGAAGTAGATCAAGAATCAGTCGATCCCTACAAACTTGCCGGCGAATATTGCAATGAGTAAGTAAATGGTGGGAAAAGAATGATTCTACTTAATTTATAAATTGTCAGTTAAAAGAAAAAATTGTTTGCAATCTAACATTTGGGTGTTTTGTTAATATTAAATTACATTCAAGAAAATAATTAAAATTTAATTTTAATGTACACTCTAAAAGAGCCTTTTAAATTACTTAACGTTTTATGTTTTTAATATAAATATACACATAATTTTTTTTATGAATATATATGTTTTTTTTTAGTCTTCTGAAAACTGCCGATGAAGTCTTAAAAGCGGGAAAATACATGGTGGCGTGTCAGATATCGCGTGAGCCACTCATTAGGAAATGTTTGCGAGAAACATTTTTTGATCGTGCTAAAATGAATATTGTACCAACCAAAGCTGGTATGAAAGAAATTGACGAGAACCACAATTGTTATTCGTAAGTTATTGTTTTTCATTAAAAACTCAAATGATTTTATTTACTTCTGTTTAACAATTAATACTAATACTAACAATTGTTTAGCATGAAGTATGTTAGACGCAAGCCTGTCAGAGATCTGGTCAAGGACGACTATTTAAAATTACAAATCGCTGAAGAAGACAAGTTACTCACCATCACTTTCGACGAAGAAGTAGATGGCTTAGGTTCGCTTCCGTATATTGAAGAAGTCAAACAGCTTTACATTAGAGTATGTCGTTGGTTTTCACAGATTTAATTTTATTTTCCATTTATATTTATTTTTTTAATCGAATTGCAGGACGAGTTTAGCTCCAACGTCCAACAGTGGAACGATCTACGTCGTGAATGTGTCGACATTGCGTTTAGAAAATTGTTGATGCCTGAAATGGTTAAAGAATTAAAACGCAATTTGCTTGCTGAAGCAAAAGAACATGTGCTCAAGGCATGTAAACATAAATTATCCAATTGGTTGTCTGTAAGTATTTGCAATTTGTTTAATAAATGATAAAATATGTATTTTTGAATGTTGTGACTCTGGTTGGTTATGTTTTATTAAGTTTGCCATTTTATATTTATAAAGGTGGCTCCGTATAAACCCGAGGTGGATGAAGAAGACGACGACTGGGACACGAGCAAAGGCATCAGAGTAATGGGATTAGCTTACTCACCTGATCACGAACAAGCATCGTTTGCTTGTATTTTATCGACCGATGGCGAAGTGTTAGATCATTTGCGATTGCCCTACATAATGAAACGACCATTTAACGATGACGTCAAAGCCAAAAGAGATGCGGATTTCAACCATATAAGGAATTTCTTATTGGCCAAAAGACCACACTTGATTGTGGTCGGAGGAGAATCCAGGGACGCTCTTTGGGTGGTCCGAGATGTCAAAGCCGTTGTCGATCAATTGGTAATTGACGAACAATTTCCTCAAATACAAGTGGAAATTTTGGATAATCATTTGGCTAAAATTTTTGCAAATTCCATCAAAGGAGAGGTGATATAGCTACTTAACTTTTAATGGATAATTTTTTTTTAATTCAAATGTTTGTTGTTAATTAACAGAATGAATTTAGAGATTACCCACAACTTTTACGCGAGGCCATATCGTTAGGTCGAAGGATGCAAGATCCCTTAGTCGAGTTTTCACAGTTGTGTACGACAGACGACGAAATATTATGTCTTCGATATCATCAGTTCCAAGTAAAAACAATTATAGTTTTATAGTGTTACTTATGATTTTACTGCTGAATTATTGAGCTGAAATTTTGACCATAATTTTTTTTTTTTTGTAGGAGATGATGAGCCAGGAAGAATTACTTGAAGGATTAAACCAAGAGTTCATAAATCGCACTAATGAAGTCGGTGTCGACATTAACGACGTTGTTCAGCGTGTTTACGCGCCTAACTTACTGCAATTTGTGTGTGGATTAGGGCCCCGCAAAGCCACAGCTCTAATCAAACTGATGAAGCAAACGAATCAAAGACTGGAAAATCGTACCCAGCTGGTAACTTCGTGTCATATGGGCCCGAAGATATTTATCAATTGCGCTGGTTTCATCAAAATAGACACCAACTCACTGGGAGACAGCACTGAATTGTACGTGGAAGTGTTAGACGGCTCGAGAGTGCACCCGGAAACATATGAATGGGCTAGAAAAATGGCCGTTGACGCTCTGGAGTATGACGACGAAGAAGCCAATCCGGCGGGTGCTCTCGAAGAAATTTTGGACGCACCAGAAAGACTTAAGGATTTAGATTTAGATGCGTTTGCCGAAGAACTAGAAAGACAGGTGAGGTTGTTTATATTTCACTATAAATATTATATGTATATTATGTTATATTAATATTATTATATTATTATTTAACGGTAAACCATGTTTAACCTGGTCGATTTGTTGTTTGTAGGGCTTCGGAAACAAGAGTATCACGTTATACGACATCCGCCAAGAGTTAAACCACCGATACAAAGACGTAAGAATACCGTACAAACCACCCAATGCTGGACAGCTGTTTGAACTCTTGACTAAAGAAACCCAAGAAACTTTCTATGTCGGGAAAATGATATTAGCCACAGTAACAGGAATCGCACGCAGGAAACCGCAAAATGATCAACTCGATAAAGCAAATCCTGTGAGAAATGATGAAACTGGACTGTGGCAATGTCCATTTTGTTTTAACAACGAGTTTCTTGAATTATCCGACGTAAGTTCACGTAGTGAAATAATATTGATCAAATAGTAAAATAAAAACAATTTTGAATCTATTTTTTTTTTCACAATATTATAAATGTAATACTTGATTGACTTTTTGGTATTGAAAACTAATGACTACAATATTTATATTGATATTATGTTTTAGGTGTGGAATCATTTTGACGCTGGCGGTTGTCCAGGTCAGGCATCTGGAATTCGTATAAGATTAGATAATGGCATTAACGGTTTCATAGCCATGAAGAATTTGTCCAACACTCATGTTGCCAACCCTGAAGACCGTGTCCGCTTTAACCAAGCCATACATTGTCGGGTCATTAAAATTGAAGCCGAAAGGTTTTCGTTTGAAGCCACGTCGAAAAGTTCCGATTTGAAAGATGAAGAACACAATTGGCGCCCTCCAAAAGATCCTTACTACGATCATGAAATGGAAACTCGTCTGAAAAAGGTTGAAATAGACAAGAGCAAATTGAAAAATGCCCAGACCTACATTAAACGTGTCATTGTGCACCCTTGTTTCCATAACGTATCGTTCTCAGAGGCCGTGAAACTACTGCACAATTCTGAACAAGGTGACGCAATCATAAGACCTTCGAGTAAGGGCGCCGACCATTTAACTGTTACCTGGAAGGTGGCTGATAATGTATATCAGCATATTGACATACAAGAAAAGGGTAAAGTTAATGCTTTCTCGCTTGGACGTTCGCTTTGGATTGGCAGGGAAGAGTTTGAAGACTTGGACGAAATTATTGCCCGTCATATTACTCCAATGGCGTCCAATGCCAGGGAACTGCTGAGGTTTAGATACTACCGGGATACAGATGGTGGAAACATTGAAAAAGCCGAGCAAATATTACGAGAAGAACGAGCTAATAACCCTTCAAAAATCCACTATATTGTATCTGTTTCACAGGTTTGTTAGAAATCCTCAATTGTTTTTTTCCTCAATTTTTATTTTTTAGTCTATTTATTTGTAATGTTTGATTTTGTTTTTAGAAATATGCTGGCAAGTTCCTTCTATCTTGTTTACCTACTCGGAGATCTAAACATGAATACATAACAATCACACCGGAAGGTTATCGATTCCGCAGTCAAAACTTTGATTCTATTGCATCCTTATTCCGATGGTACAAAGAACACTTCCGCGACGCTACACCTCATGTTACGCCAATGACAGCACGATCGTCAGGTCAACCTTACAGACCTTCTCCCAACATGGGTAAATACAATTTTCGTTAATAAGATTTGGTTAACTCCTAAAATGATTTGCTTCATAATTGTGATGAAACTACAAAATATTCGTCTTTTTATTATTTTTTTCAGAACCTTCACCGATGAACCGAAGTCACAGTAGTCACTCGAATACGACCCCTCAATACTCCCAGTCCCCGCACGCCACTTATAGTAATATGCATCAGTCTGTATATAATACCGTGAGTGTTTACAAAAATATATTCTGCTTAAAAATCAAATTCTTAACTATCGACAATGTTACTTTTAATATATATAGCCATACACGCCATCTGGGCAAACACCGTATTTAGGAAATTATACCACTCCTCGGTACGGAGCAACTCAACCGCCAGTGCACGACGGCGTATTTTTGCATCCTAGCTCTCTCACTCCGATCGTTCAGAGTAGTCCAAAACCATCTTCTACACCTACTAGGCAGCCGGTACAATCTGCCGATCCTAACGATTGGCGACGGATGGCAGAAGAATGGGCCAAAGCTAAACAGCGAGGCGACGGCGGCTTTACCACGCCCAATGCTGATAGTGGAGGACGGCACACTCCACGTAGCAGGTAAATAACAATTAAATAACCTAGTTTAACAAGAGGATTACTAATTCCTATCTACTTTTAGGTATAACAACCATCGTTATAGCAGCGGGAACCGAGAAAGAGCGATGAGTACTCCGCGCAGTGACGCTCCATCGCCAACGCCGAGTGCATCATCTTTCGGATATCAGTCTCCTGCGCCGCCACCGCCCTCAAGAGGATACAAAAACAGTTTCAACGCTTCGTCCAAATCACCTCGTGGTCCTTCGTCCAATGTCGGCACGCCGTACGATCCATTCACAATGGATCCTGGAAAGGATTCACCATCGTCGTCGTCACGATCCGGACGCCACGATGAAATGACATTAGACATGAGATACGCTTCGCCCGGGAACAGGTGGACACCGAGATCTGGTCGTTCGACGCCCCACACTATAAACAGCCCTAGGTCAATGATTGAATCTACGATGGGTGATAATACGCCGCTGTACGATGACTCTTAAATGAATTTCAAATAACCCTTACATTTTTTTTTTTAATTCTTTTTAGCTCAGTACTATTTTTTTTTTTTTTTAGTTATAAATATATATTTTTTTACAAGGTATATAGGTTTCAATAATTAACATTGTACTCGGGTTTTCAGTACGAGTAATTTAATATTGCGTTGTAGCTAATACACCGATGGGCGTTATTATAATAAAATGTAAAATATTCGCATCGTTGTCTACGTCTATTTTTTTTTTTTAATGTACAACAAATATATATATTTTGTCCAAATGATGGCCAAATCATCTCTTACCTGTTTTGTCATTTCATTACACTACTCTATGTACTCATTTTTTATATATTCTTTTTTTAAATCTACTTTGTGATAACTGTACATCTTTACAATGTGTGGTGGAACCAGAACAATTATATATTTTAATTGTTGATGGTTTGTAAAAAGTTAATTTTGAGGTTTTCAAATAATACATATTGGTTGGAATTTATAATTTCTTTTTCAATTGATGTATCTCGATTATACGAAATAAGTTATTCATTGAGCCCTTTAGTTGAAGAAATTGTTTGTTTTGAAGGGTGAAAGAAGATAGCTTATAAAAATATAACTGCTGAACCGCTGGGACATATAGTTAATTCCATTTATACTGCTGAAGTAGATAATGTTGAATGAAATAGTAATTTTATTTTATACATTCAAATGTGTTTATATACATGTTCTGAAACAGTAAATCTAATTTACGTTAAAAAAAATGTGTTGCCAATATTATTAATTTGCGGAATTCTATCTTAAACGAAAATAAATAACATAATATTAACGTAATAACATGTTATTGTTAAATTACATTTTTACAACTTATAGAATGGTTAAAAACGTACGTAACTCATACCCCATCATTGCTTTTAAACAAAATATTCCTGGTAAAATCATATTTAATTATACCAACCAAAATAATTACTAAATTCATTTTGGAAGATTTGAAAAAAACATGAAATTTTAGTGAAATGACCCCCACATATGACCCTGTGTAAGTCGACCTGGAAGTCCCGAGTCCCAATAATATTACAGGATAGGTATTGTATTGTCATGCGAGATGAGTGTCTGTGCCTTCTACGACATCGGGAAGTGGGTTTAAATAAATTTTGTAAGATTTGAAAATACCCGTACAAACATACGTACGTACGTGTTAGCGAGTTAAAAAAAAGCATGTAATAAAAACTATTTTTCGAAAATCGAACCCCCCACCCCCCCAACAGTATTAATTTGGTTTTTCAAAAAAATTAAATAACGCACCGATTTGATGGCTTTATAGTGCTACCAACGTGTATGCTTGTACACATTACGCGCAATCAGTGCTACCAACTGCCGAATACAACGCGATTGTCCGCTGATAATAACCCGCGGTGTGTAAAAAACAATATCAACAAAGTGTTTTTACGAGGCGAGTGGCGTCAAATCATAATTATTGTATTTCAAAACAAAATTCAACCGTAACTGTTTAAATTGTTGTAATTGTTATTTTCCAATATAATATTGCCCCTGTTTTTGCGCGAATAACTTTAGTATTTTCTAAACAATGACATCGGCACTGTACCTCGAACACTATTTGGACAGTAAGTACTACCCTAATATTTTTATTATCTCGGTGGTGATTTTTGGCTAATGATCAGGCTTAGAAAACCTACCAATGGAGTTGAAGCGAAACTTCACATTAATGAGGGACCTAGACTCGAGAGCGCAAGAGTTGATGAGGAGCATCGATAAATTAGCCGACGATTACATGTCAAACGTAAAAGGTTATTCGTCGGACAAAAAAAACGAAACCATGACCAGCATACAGCGCCAGTTCGACAAAGCGAAAGAGTATGGTGACGATAAGGTGCAACTGGCCATACAGACGTATGAATTAGTAAGTATGGCATCTATGGACTACATGCCGGATGTACGTAAGTTATGATGCATATCGTTCTCATTTATTGTATGTTTTCAGGTTGACAAACATATAAGAAAATTAGACTCTGACTTGGCACGATTTGAATCCGAAATCCAAGACAAAGCCATTAGTGCCACGAGAAACGTAGAAGAAAATTCACAAAAAAGTATGTATGGATCAACCACTTCATAAGCCGTTAACTATAGATTTTTTTTGTTTTTTCCCTGTACAGGAGGACGTAAAAAAATAAAAGACAAAGAAACCAAAAAGAAGAGCGCTTCGAGTGAAGATGAAGCAACTATGAAAACTTCTAAGAAGAAACAACTAAAAAAAAGTATACTAGTTAACACATAGTTGTTAAATGTTTTGCTTAATATGATATATTATTTATAGGTGGTGCTAAAGTGGCTAGTTCAGTACCCAGCAAAACTCCATCGGTAAACACCGTCGTGAACCCAACAAACACGGTTAGTAATACAACCAATGTGACGGCCGAAGCCAGTACTTTAGTCGGTGCGTTGACTGGTGCCGGAGTCGCTCATTCTGCCGAAGTGTTGGACATGCCAGTCGATCCAAACGAACCAACGTATTGTTTGTGTAACCAAGTGTCCTACGGTGAAATGATTGGATGTGATAATCCAGACGTAAGGAAATTATTGAAATATTTTTTTGTTTTTTTTAATTTTTATAAGGAATTCATTTTTTTTATCTATACATTTTTTCCTTTTTTTTTCAGTGTCCCATTGAATGGTTCCATTTTGCTTGTGTTAAACTAACGACAAAACCTAAAGGAAAATGGTTTTGTCCAAAATGTATAACGGATCGCAAGAAAAAATAACATCTACAGTGTATCAATGACCAACAGCATTATTGAATGCAATTTATCTATATATTTTATAAATGTCAAAAACCTGAAATATATCTTAAAAGATAGACGGACATGTTTCTTACAGTGTAAGGCACAATGTCTTTATAAGATATTATACTGTGATGTAATACATCTATTTGATACTTAAATATGCTATTGTAATTATTGTGTATATACATATTGTAATTTAATCGTGACATCGATTTTTAGATAGAAATAAAATAATTTTACGAATTCTTTTATTTTTATATTTATTTTAAGGTGATAACATCGGATTCCTTTTACAACATTTTGATGGTAAGACCGTCCAGTTATACTCGTACGAATTTGCCTCTCTGTATTCGTGTTCACACATTTTTCCGGTATTTTGTATCCGTGACCAGTATAACCTCATCAGGGGCGGACTTCGCTTGTGTGTCACTAGATGTAGATTGTTACATCCGCGGCTCAAGTATTCAGTATCGAAACGACGATCGTGTTTTCGCGTAATGTTCAAAGGAGCTAACCAAGCACCAACAGTGACATCCTCGCTAATAAATAAACTTTAAAAAAAAATGTACTCTTGAGGAAAATTGTCTAAACAGTTAAATAATATTTGATAAAATTTACCTTAAATAATCTCGATTATTTACTATGTAGGTGACAAGATCATTGGACAGAACATACCCTCCACCTAGAGCGTACGGTAAGTATTTATCACATAAAGACCATTCGTCTTCTTTCCATTTGCCAAATTTCTTGACGTTAGCTATGCCATTGAAATAACCCCAATAGAGTTTGTTTTTGGGCATACCCTCTAATTCACCAACAACTTTTGGCAAATCGACAAACGTGTCATCATCGCATTTCAACAAATATTGAAAATTGTAACTACTAATTAATATCAAAGATTCCAATAGCTTTTTGCTAAGCAATCGATATTCATCGGGTACATTTACTTCCACTATGTCGCCGTACAATAGTTTTTCATCGTACAGCGATTGGTCTTTGGACAATGCAAATAACACTCGAACGTTTTGATCAGCCCTCGCCCACGTCTCTCGAATCGCATCTCGGCGGTCATGGTTTTTCACAGCCGATACGACTACAACGAGCACGGTGTACTTTGTACGTCCAACCACAGATGCGGGGTTCGGTTTCAATGTGTTGGAGTGTAGAAAAAAAAGTGTTATCGTGCATCCTAGTATGAACGACAAGGTTGACAGGATACAATAGTTGAGATGTCTCGGGTTGAGTACCATTGATTTCAATGGTTAGATTTTGATATAAAATTGTTGTTTAATCGAAACTCTTTTGCTTTTGTAATTTTAAAACAGTATAAATTACTAGTAAATAGCAACACGATCACAACGTTTCAAAAACGAAGATATTGAAAATATAAATCTACATTTTTTTTCGAATTTGGATACTTGACAATCGACTAACTTACAGATGTAGCAGTTTTTTTAAATTTAAATGTTTGTTTTTAATATTTTTATCTGAACAGTAACAAAATATATACCTACTTATAAAACAGACAAGTAAACGTAACTATTATCGCGTTGGCGTCACTGATTACTAGAGGGATCTATAGCAGTGGCTGAATTTGTGTTGGCACCACAGCATTTTTGATAACAATAATATTGTAGGTGTCTTATCAATAATATTGGCGAATATTTTATAATTTATATTACTAATTACCGTGAGAATAAATAATCTAATCCACGGTTGATACATCATACTTGATAGATGATAGTCGATTACCTACTATTGTTTCTGTTTTTGTAATGATTATTCGTTTCATATTGCATTAAATAGAAACCATTATTTACCTTATTATTACTTATAATACCTGCAAACAACAATTTATTTCTACTATTCAACACTATTATGGCTATGTGGACAACGTTTACAAACACAGGTAACTCTTGGTATAATAACATTAAAATAATACCATTTACGCATTCATGCCTACTTAACAAACAAACAGATACATTTCACATTACAACACTAGTATACTGGTCGATGACAAAGCGGTTCTGCTCACGGTTTGTTAGATTACAAATATAATTATTCGTATTTAATTATTTTAGCGTTTTCATGAGTTGATAATTGGGTCGGCAATGTTACTTTGTATCAAGTGATCTTAGTGTTAATAAATGATTTATATATTAATGAAACACTTAAAAACAAAATATGTAAATTTGTAGGTTTCAAAGTGTATTAGGATAAATGTATTAAGTTAAAGCATCTTATGACCATTTGTTTTACTACTGTGGTGTTATAACATTCTTAATAGCTTAATCTAAGCTATTAAGAATATTTGTTGTTCCTCTTGATGATGAGTCGATGCAGGGAGATGGGTTTTTTAACGAAATTAATAATTAAAAACTCTCTAAATACTGCTCAGTTTAAAATACTTTTATTATAATGTAAAATTGAAACATGTACAATTCGATTACAATGACCACTTGTCATTTAACTAATGTCTATACTAAATGTTGTAGTTCGTTTGAGTGATCTAGCTCGTCTGTTCTAGTGTTGTTCCTTACTGCTATTTATATGAGTGCGATAGTGGTAATCGTGTGGGCTAGTGTGCATAGAGTGGGCTTTAGATAATAGTAAGCTCGGACGTCACAGCGGATGTGCAACCTGTATATATTTATGATATTTGTATAATATACTGTGTAATATTCTTTTATCTACTGTAGCTTATACTAAGTATTGTATATTGGTTAGTGTGGGTTTTTAGATAGCAATGACAGCGGATGTGCGAAATGTCCATCCGTACATATCTTATCGGTTGTTGTCAATGTGGGCTTTGTCAGTGCGCCTTTATTCTAATGTAAATACTCAATACTTAATCAAACCTTGGTCATAAAATAAGTTACTTTAATTACTCAATAAAAGAACTAAATTGATAAAATCTCAAAACAAAATCTTAGATAAAGTCTATATATTATAAAAATGAAAGTGTTTCGTTGATGTTAATAATATATACGTTTATATATTAATTTATATAGTAATTGGAATTACTTTTTGTGTATTTTAATACAATTAATTTATTAGGAGCATCTGATCCTAGCCGAGAGTCAGGCTTAGGCAGCGACTCTGACAATATGGCCGAACTAGCTCAGTTATTGCAAGCCGATATTCCAGAAGGACGCAATAGCTTATCGGACAGCCACGTGAACCTAGAGCGTGTAGCCGAATATTGCGAAGGCAATTATTTTCAAGCTGAAAACAAAAGAATAGCTTTGGAAGAAACGAAAAACTATACTACTCAGTCTTTGGCCAGTGTTGCTTATCAAATAAATACACTTGCTTATAATTTTTTGCAACTATTGGACCTGCAGACTGTTCAGTTATCCGAAATGGAAAGTCAAATTAATCACATCGCCCAAGTATGCTTTTCAAAATAGTTTAAAATATTTTTAAAGCTCTCATAATGTACATATTTTCAGAATGTAATGATACACAAAGAAAAAGTTGCTAGAAGAGAAATTGGTGTGTTGACAGCCAATAAGACTACAAATCGTCAGTATAAAATCATTGCTCCCGCTAATCCGGAAAAACCTATTAAGTATGTCCGGAAACCAATTGATTTTACAGGTAAATTTAATTTAATTTATCAAATCAATTTTAAATAATCGCATCATCAATGAATGTTATTCCAGCACTAGACGATATTGGACACGGTATTCGCAGCACTCCTCGCCAAACACGTCAGCCAGTTGCTAATAGTTCAAGTGCGTCCACCAATATGTCAACTGTTGGTCCTGCTCCTACAAACAAACCGCCGACACCACCAGCAGTGATACGAGCCACAGGAACTCTAAGCAAAAGTTCTCGTGAATATCGCACGCCTCCGGCTGTTGCACCGCCTCAAGTGCCCAGTCATTACGCGCCCAACTATCCTATCGGCCATACTAAACGCGAAAAAGGACCCGGATACAATTCGTTGCCAATGCATCACACATCGTCCTCAAGTAATATACAACCAGCTCCCATTGTCGGAATGGTTCATCCCATGCAGCAATCGGAACAATCCTCTTCGTTGAATTCAATGCCCCGTAAGAGAATAATATTTGTTTAAAAAAATTAATTTTTTTTTTTTTAATGATTTATTTAAACAATTATCAATTTATTTAGCTCCTCCTTCGCCCCATACGTTAAACAATTCTCGAATGGGAATTGGCCCAGATCTGTTAGACAATCATCATCATCAGGCTCCATCTTTCGGATCGTCCACAGACCATTATCGCTCAAACACATCTCAGCAGTTGTCCAACGATCATTATCGTTCTGGTGCATCTCAGCAGTCATCCAACGATCATTATCGTTCCGGTGCATCTCAGCAGTCGTCAAATGACCATTATCGTTCAAGTGCTTCTCAACAATCGGCCACAGATCATTATCGTTCAAACATGTCCCAGCAGTCGTCTACAGATCATTATCGCTCAAACTTGTCTCAACAACAAGCAGCTACCGACCATTATCGCGCCAACACTTCGCTGCCTGGCATTTTGAAAAACTCGTCGCAATATCATCCTTCATCTGCGGTCACCGCGACACAACAGGGTTCATCACGACAAGGATCGGCATCGCCTCCACTGCCACCACCGCCCGAGGATCACTTTGGCCATATATCAGCTGGCGGAATCGTTCCTCAAGAACCAGATCTTCCTGGATGGGTTCCAAAGAACTATCTGGAGAAAGGTAAACTGTTATTATAATTAATACCAATTTGAGTATTTTAAGTTAAAACATGTTATCAATTCCCATTTTAGTCATCGCAATTTACGACTATTATGCAGACAAGGACGACGAATTGAGTTTTCAAGAAAATGCAGTTATTTACGTGTTAAAGAAAAACGATGATGGCTGGTGGGAAGGCGTTATGGATGGCATTACGGGACTCTTTCCCGGAAATTATGTGGAAGGTTGTATGTAACACGCGATAACGAACACTTCCTGATATTTATTATTACTATTATTATAATTATTATTATTATTATTATTACTATTATAACATACAGCTTCAAAATATATAACACGATATAATTTATTATTATTATCGTCTAAGATATAATATTATCTAATGATTTGATATATTTAGTGATTAAATAACTTATACTTAGCCGTTTTGGATTTAGAATAATGTCTACTTAAATATAAGTACTCCACTTGTTTTATAATAATGAGAACTTGCCCCCAAAATATAATTATTATTTAGGTATTTAGAAATTATTAATTTTTATTATCAGATAAAAAATTCCATTAGATGTATAAACTAAATTTACAAGTCAATTATATGTGTTTATCATTAAATTTTTTCTTATAACAATTTATATTATATTATTTATAAAAATTATTATTCTTTATAATTAATTAAATTATTTTATTTATAATTATTAATATTACATTAAATTATTATTTGACATTTGTATATTATTTTAATATAATAATAATTAAAAACAATGTCAAAAGGTTTTGTTGTTGTTTTGTATATGTTACTCATAAAAATCATACAGAATTTATTAGTTTGATATATGATCAACAATGATATTTTTAAATACTAATCACATATTAGTACTTTTGAGATTATTTTAGTTTATAAAAACTACAAATTATTGACAATTTAATTTAACAACTATAGAATTTACAATATTTACACAACTTGCGAATACTCCCACTTGAGTAGATTGACTTGTCTTAGCAGACTATTTTCAAATAAATTTATAAATTTACATTACTGCCTACCGAAAATCAGCTTTTTTTTTTATTCTATTATGGAGCCACAATTGGACAGCGTTTCGTTAGAAAGAAACCAGTCACAAAATAATAAAAAAAATGAGTCAGGATGAAAAATAAAATTATGTATGTGTAAAAAGAAAACTTATTTTGAAGGAATTTAAGTTGACAGTAACAATTTAACCTCAATTTATTCGAATAAATTTCGTCTAATTAGAAATCTGTGGGAACGACCATTTTAAGGATTTAAAACTGTCCGTTCAATTTATCGGTACGCCGTACGTGAAACCAAATGTGGGCATGATGATAATAAAAATCTAATAATAAATAAAATTTGTTTTTATTTATGTAAATAATAATTTAAAATGCATTTTTAATTAATCACTTTTAACCTTCTAACTTTTGTAATAATAAATATTTAAAACAATATACATTTTTATTCCTAGTTATTGTAATTTGATTTTCATCAAATATAAGTAAGACACAGGTAATTACTAATTGGGACTTCACCCTTAATTGAAAAAAACTAAAACAAAAATAATAGAAAACAGCTAAGCAAATTCAACAACCCATAAAATCTACCTCCAGTACTTGTTATCAATTCGACTGATAACAAAACGGACTTCTACGATTTTTTGTAAACATTTTAAACTCTTTATGTATTTAGTATTTACTTATATGTAAATTAGCTAAATTTATAAGTGTTTATTATTTATTAATAATAATCAAAACGCACAATGAAAACGTCTCCGGCCAAAAGCTAAACGACAATCGACAATTTTATGTTGTATTTATTTATTTTTTTCTTCTGAAATGATGAAAATAATGTTGAAATTAACGTTGGCTCGACAATGATCGGTTTGTCGAACGTCGTGTCGAAGAAAACGCAATGCGTAGCTCTTTTGGTACCAATTTTGTTGCCAGCCCTTCACATTTTAGTGCTAGAAAAGTTCTGGAGCGACTTCACGTTTGTAGTGGACAAGGAACAATGTCGGTGTTCTTGTTGGGACACGGTGTTCAAAGGTAATCGGTCTCAATCTAATAAACCAAGTGATTTTCATGCATGGTTGACTGTCCATTTAATAGTTATTATAAATTGTTCTGTTAAAAAAAAGGACCGTACGAAGCCGGCGTAGCTCGATACAAGCATATGTACTTCAACGCGACAGACAATACGTTCAAAATGTGGGCGCTGACCGTCGTCTGTACGATAGTACTGTACGAGTGTTGCAAAAACATAATAAAGCTATGTTTCGAAGGGCAATTACGGTTTAAAATGGCACTACTATTTGTATTATCGTTGTTCTCTCATTACTATTCTTGGTGAGTGGACTACAATAAATTTGTTTGAAATACTTTTAAAGTATAAATTTACGCTACCAAACATCAGCTTGTTTTTTTATATAATGTTTTTTTCTTAATCTATTTTGAAACCACGATTGGACAGCGTTTTATTAGAAGGAAACCGGCCACAAAATTATGTAAAATGAGTTAGAATAGAATATATACAAAACAAAATTAAGTTTATGTTAAAAAAAAATATTGATTTGAAGGCATTTAGGTTGAGAGTAACAATTAACTTAGACCTCACTTTATTCAGATAAATGCCGTCCAATTAAAAATGTGCTTAAAACTATGGACATGGATGTATCTAAAACTCATTCGCATGACTTCAAATACATTTAGTAAATAAAAAGTAATTTTTAATAGGTTATTTCACACTTGTATCCATTTTTTGATTTGCTATTTTTTTAATATAGGTAATTCATTATTATTTTCAGATAATTGCTATTGTTCAATATCTTTTTTTAAATGCTTTTGAATAAAAACAATAATAGAAATTATCTATGGTGAAAACATTTTAAATAAGATAATCGTTTTAAAAATGAAAAAGATATCTTAATTTTTATTTATATGAATACATTTGTATTATTATTAATATAATATTTTATCTATAAATAATAAACATTTAATTAATCGTGCAACAAGTAAAAATATTGCTCGCTTTTAAAAATAGAACTTGAGGATTTTTACATTTAATTTATATCAGTAACAAAAGTAATATTATTGGCGAATTTCAAGTCAAAATTTTGAACTGATTTCCTATTCAAAATCAGTCTAAACAAAATACTTTAATTGAAGAGAAACATAAATGGTGTGCGGTCGAGTAAATGCGTACCTCAGACTCAAAAGAGCCAGTCTTGTATCGATTTTTTATTCATTTGAAACATAATATATAAATGAGAACTTTAGTATATATTTTTAAGTAACGAGATTGTCTCTTTATAGATCCAAAAAGAAGATTTAATAAAACATTACAAAAAAACCTAATAATATCTTGTGCACAACACAGGTGGTCTTACGTGAACTACTGGAATGACGAATTTTACTCGCAGTGGAACCACCAGATAGTCTTTACGATCACCGAATTGTACTCAACAGCAGTGTTGTACAAAATTTGTGATCGAAGAAAAGAAATAAGAAAATTTCATATGTTTTCCGTGATCGGCGTGGGATTAATACACATTCTGGCTGCTGGGTTCGATCAGTTTGTTACAAATGTGATCAGGGGTAGCGGATTTGCACACCAAGTAATACGTAGTGTATTAAAATTATAATATTTAATTATGTAAACGACATTTCATTTACATTGTAATAATATACAGCTTTATATTTAAACGCTACAATATCGATGATATGATTTTGTCTGAGTGCACCCAGTTATGTTTTTTTGTCGTTTTAACTTAATTAAAAAATTTGCAAACGCCTTTATATGTCATCAAGGTTAGTCGTATAGAAAAAAAAAAAATTACATATTTGAAATAATTTTTAAGTACTAAATTAAATGTTCTAACTAATGACATAGTTTATTTGCATTCAGACAAAAACTGTTTACGTAAAAAAAATTTTTTTTTTTGGTACATTCAGACTATTTGGTAGCTACGTTTTTTTTTTTTTATTAATTAATATAAACAATTAAAAAGACAATAAAATATTCTTGTTTTAAAATTGTATAGCTGTCAATATATATTTGACTTTATGTAAATTGTGTAAAAGTTTAATATTTTTTTAATCTGATCGATTTAATGTAGGACAAGTGGATTGTTTCCAATTGAAAAAATTCATACGTTACCTTTATAAACAAATTTTCAAAAATCCGACCAAACACACCACCTTTGGTTTTAATATTTTATTATTATACTTCATCTTATTACTATATTAATTATTACATTTGTGAAAACTCATTATTGTCGATTGTTTGTTTTTAGATAATACGAGATTTATTTTTGATGGTGCCCGATATGTTGAATGTCGTTGTGCCATTACTGGAAATGAGGAAGAGACGTATGGTTTCAAAAAGTTACTACGCCGATGAAACTGGTGGTTATAAGGAAATATGCTTTTTAATCGCTCTAGTGATCTCTGGATTGATTTTTGTATCATTATTATAGACATATTATGTATAAATATATAAGTATATAGATTATTAATTTTTTTTTATTGTGTGTATACAAATTTATTTTTTGGTAACATAAATTGGTGCAATAATTGTTCTTCGACGTAGTGCAAACAAGCAGTCAAGAGAACACATTTTTCTCGTATAACATTTATGGCACAGTCTAAATAAAAATAAAAACTATAACAAATATATGGTGTATACTATAAGACGTTAACAAAAAACAATGTGCATACAACAAAAAGGATCAATTCAACAGTGATATAAAATAAGACACATTTTTTTTAAACCATAGTTAATAATAATAGCAACCTAGTTGTTGTTGGCACGAAATAAAAAGTACCAAATTGGAATTATTCTCCGCCAGCGGTTTCGGAATCCCTAAAAAAAAAACCAAAAAAAAAAAAAACAATGTATTGTACAAATGTATGTGAAATGCCTTTAATTTTATTGCTTAAAAATAACCTACAGGTTACACTTGTCCAAATTAAATTTTTCAGACCTGTAAATTACACGTTCAAACAAACGATCAGCTAATTTATTTCAGAATATTATAATAAACAAAAAAAAAATACAACAAAACAATGATGTCTAAAAAAAGGTTTTTTTCGGAAAGCAGGAACAGTTTTATTTAAGACATGAGGATTAAATTTTGGACTCTGAATCGTCTGGAAAAAAGAATATATAATTTGGAAATCGGTATTAAACCTACTACGATTATACTATGACAACTTTTATCAAGTTGAAACGCTTAAATATAAATTTTTTATGAGGTGTATCGTAAAGTTCTATCTAAGCATACTTGGAAATTGAACTTAACCAGCTTTGTTCATTTACAATGATATCTATATAAAAAAAAATTAAATAAAAATACTAGAACTTAGCGGTCAAACACCTAGTAGATTGTACCAATATATATTACATACCATTTGGATAGGATTGTGTTTTTTCTACCAATTTAAAATAGTTAAGTTTTATTTCCAGAAAAAAATATTTTTTAAAATGGAAGGGGGTTCACTTGAAGTTTGGCAAAACTTTACGAAACACGTCATATGTATTTTATTTAAGTGTTGTAATAATATATGATTAAATATTGCACACAATAAATAATTGACTAAAAAAAAAACGTGTTCTATGACAAACCTGGGCATTAGTACAATAAAATCTAAAATAATTATTAGTATTTAAAAATTTTGTAACCAAAATAAAAATTTTAATTATTATAATTGTAATTTTTTATTTGTATCCAATTAACCAAATAATTATTTCAATTTTAACTATAAATAATATTTATTTTAAATAATAATGGGAATAATATACTAAAATAAAAGTATCAAATACATATTTAAAAAAATAAAAAGGTGTCTTATAAAAGAAAGACATTATTGAAATTATAAATAATTAAAAACAATGGCCAGGTTTGTGGAACTATTAAAGATTCTAAACAGTCGAGTGTGTTACTTGAAACTATTATTGAACATTTTATTTATTTTCACTTTTTAAATTACCATAAAATTAATCAATAATTTACACTAAAAGCATACATTTTGAGTTAGTATTAAAATAAAATGCTTTTAACAAAAAAAAAAAGCAGTTCCAGTTAATAATATTTGTCAATAAAAGATCAAAAAATTGTTCGTGTTATACATTTAATTATTTACAAATGCTAACAATTTATTTAATTGGGGAAAAAATATGTATAATTGAAATCAATTTTAATCGGGTGTCGAAAACCAAAGAAGTTATATGTCGTGTTTAAAATTTTTTTTAAATAGTAATAGAAACAAGAAAAGTTTGGCTATGCTTCAAATGTCATTGACATTGTTTACTCAATGTATTTTTTTTTCTATACCTACTCTTCAAATTTTTATGGCAATGAAAGTGTAAAAATAGATTTTACAAACGTTTTTCGTCCTTAATCAGATGAATGTCATAAAATAAAATTTCATCTATACTAATGATAACATATCTAGAGCTTGACTGTACAGTTGCATTATAAAACGATAATGAAAGAATTATTAATTACAATAAATTAAAATTGTAATAATTTTTTTTTTTAATTTACAAGTAGTATTATGAATGGAAAAATATGAGTTAAAAGTTTAACGTTAGTATGTTACTAAAATACAATATATCTTACACAGTTAATTATTTATTAGTTAATCAAACTTACGTTTCGGAGTTCAATTTCAATTGTTCAATTAAGTCTTTCGGTTTTAGTTCACCAATACAAATTTTGTGAACAGTTGTAAACAAAGGAAATCTGTTATTTAAAAACGAAAAAAAATGTAACTTTGTGACTTATAATTACTGATTATTAGTTTAATATTGAATTTACTTGTTTTCCATTGATTTGTTCTTGAGCATAAAATTCACTTCGGCTGCTGTAATTGGACCTTGAAGCTTTTGGCCATTTAACATTTCGGCTTCAAGTTGTTCAATAGACTAAAAATATAAAACAATTTATCATTTAACAAATAAACTATTAAAATGTTTAAAGTAATTAATTAAAAGCAACTACCTTTCCTGAGGTTACATAAGCTTCAGACACACGTCTGTTTCTGCCGCCATAACAGGTCGTGATCAAATCAGCGACTCCGCATGATTCAAAAAACGTAGATAGTCGAGCACCAGCATAGAATTGATCGGCAAACTTAATCATTTCCATTAGTCCGATACGTATGATTGCGGCTTTTGTGTTGTCGCCTAACAACAAGCCGTCGACAAATCCAGCACCTACGGCCACAATGTTCTGAAAGAGAAAACAAATATAAAAATATATAAGATAGATATATTTTTTTTTTTTCGTTAGCTAAAAATTTACTTTTAAAGCTCCGCAAATTTCTACAGCTTCGACGTCGTCGACAACAGATACACGGAAGTAATCGGTCTGAATCAAATTCTTCAAAATCGGTCCAATACGTTTGTCTCTGCATCCTACACAATAATTGTTTAGCAAGAAATGTACAAATAATTAAATACAATGAGATTACCAATAGTGGTTTCACTGAATTTCTCATCTGCAATTTCGTTAGCCAAATTGGCACCCATCAGAACACAAACATCAATTTTTAACTGCCTGTTAATAATTTGCGAGATGAGGTCTATTCCTCCACCGGGCGCTACATCAAATCCCTAAAATTATCAATTTATATATAAAACGTTTTAGTTTTTTGTTATTGAAATAATTAAAAATAATTAAATTGTAGTCATAATTAAATTTTTTATACCTTGATCAACGAGAGTCCTACGGCTGTTGGTTTTATAAAGCCCACAAGGCTGGAACACAATCTCGGGATGAACTGATGAGGAATAACAAATACGATAATATCGGCGTCTTTGGCAGCTTCCACAACATCAGGTACGGCAACCTATAAGTTTTATTGACGTAATAGTAATTACAAATTTCAAATTATCATTATTTATTAGATGGCCATTTAATACAACTATACATATTAAATATATACTAAAAGCTAATAGAGTAAAATTTGTGTATTACTAAATCATATGCGCCAAAGAGGCGTAAAGTGCATCTTTACACTTTAAAGAAAAAGTATAATAAACCAAAATTCGAGAAAAAAAATTATTTTAAATTGTTTTAAATTACTGTAATGGTTTCAACTTAGGATATTTTTATAAATGGGTTAAAACACCAAAAACGAACAATCTTTGGAGCGGATTACACTGCATGTCTGGTACAATTAAAAGAATGTTTTTAAAATTTTTTAAGATTTTTCTTTTTCAATTTTTTTGGCCATGGTCGTAAAAAATATTTTTTTCTTGACACTTCATTTTTATCATTTTTTTATAGTGTCTTCAGCCATTAAAACAAATTATTAAAAATCCGTTTCTTATGTAAAATAATCTCGGCTTTCTAAAAAAAATATTTTTTTTTTTTTTTTTGCGTAACAGAAAATCATTATAGACAAGTTTATAATCTAAAAATTTGTTTTTTTTCGTGTTGCCCAAAATTTGAGAATTTGTTTAATATTTTTTTTCAGAAAGCTCAGAAATTTAACATAAAATGTGTAAATTTCCAACTAGAATCTCAATAAAAACTCATAGAAAAGTCGAAAAACGGAAAATAATCTTATTTTAAGGGGAAGGAAAGCGTCAATTTTTTTACAAATAAAGCCTAAACGCGGAGTCACTTTCTGAAGGTCTACCAATCCGATTTCAACATTTTTTATTTTATTTTATAGTTTAACATCTTCTCTATGGAGGCTAAAAGGCCGATTTTTTATTTTTGTTTTCAAAAAATATTTATAAGCATTTTTATTTTTACTTTTTTATAGTTTTTTCTAATACATCTAACTATTTTTTAAATCGCTAAATCAAAAATCGGCCTTTAGCGCCCAAAGAAAAATAGTAAGTTTCAGAAAATGACTTCTACGAAGGTCATTTTTTATCAAACTTTCGTCATAACTTGGAGAAAAATAACTTTAAAAGTATTATAATTAGAAAATTGTAATATGTGTTCACCTTGAAATTAATAGGTATATGAATAATGGCTATTAGATCAATGTTTGCCAAATATTGCCTAACCTTTGCCCCTTAATAAATAGCGCTTTCCGTTCCCCTTAGCACATAATTATTTCTATATAATATATAAAACTATTTTAAATACTGTTGTGTTTTTTTCCATTTTTTCAACTTTTCTATTAATTTTTACCCCTTTTTTGTTTGTTTTTATGGAAATCCTAATTCATATATCATTAAGGTACAATGCATTAGCAATATTCGTATATATTTATCAAGTGACTATTAAAATTTAATTAATTTTTTATCTGATAATTTTCATATCTAAGTATTTTTTTATTGAACAAAAAAAAGACAAATACAAGGTGATCATTTTATCATGAACCACTCAATATTTCATTGGGTTTAATTGGTAACTGTTTTTTTTTTTCAAAGTGTTTTTATATAACGTGATTTTAATTTTCCACAAATTTTTATGTTTCAACTCTCCAATCAAACTAATTACTTATATGAAATTTTTGAAACTTAAATGGTAACCATAAATTTCATTTACTTTTTAAATTGAGAATAATGTACTAAAAACTTTTAATGGTCGATAACCAGTCTTGGATAACTGTTTTTGAAGTTATTGAAATTTCAAATTTAGGACAGAAGGAAACCACACTTCCCCCCCCCGTCCTAACTTTTAAACTCTTATAACTTTAAAAATAGTTGTTGAAAAATGATTATCAACCAGTCAAAATGTTTAGTAAAATATTCTTAATTTAAAAATGTAATAAAACACATACGTTACCTTAAGAGTTTTAAAATTTGATATAAAAATGAGATTATTGTTTATTTATCAACAGTTTTCATTTTGCAGTATGCATACAGACATAATCAAAAAATACTGGTAATACAATTATTAATTAACACACTTGATCGATATCTTTAGCCAAAGTGCTACTATGTAGTTTCAACTCTGCACTTAAATAACAAGAACAGTGACAAACAAATATTAATAGCTCAAAAATGTTGTTGTAAATCATAATATGAAAAAAACATTGATTATGTAATAATAACTTGTATGTAACGATAACACGTAATATACACGTTATTACTATTATCGATTATAACATAATTTTTGGGAAAAATGTTTAGTTTATAATTTTCAGTCCAAAACTAGGTTTTGAATTTTGAATTATAAAAATAAATACTGTACTTATTCTAATTGGGCGACTTCAATTTACGTTGATAACTAAAATTTTGAAATGCAAAACAAAATGAAATGTTAACATATATTGAAAACCAAAATAGTTATTACTAATGTAAAATAAGTCTGATAAAATAAAATTGTTGTCATTGATTTAAAAACGACCCTGGGTTTCAATATTTAATCTGAACTTTACCTACATTTTATAATTAAAAATTAAAAATTAAATTGCAATGAAATTAAATTAAATCAATCAGTTATTTTCAGTGATTAACTGCGATGAAAATATATTAAAAATCATTGTTGCCAAAAAATGATAAATTTTAACTGCTAATTTTAAACAAATCGTATGATCACATATCTTTGGTGGACGGTCACATAATTTATTAATAGTCAAAATTGTTAATCTTCACTAAAATCCGAATTAACTAAGTTTCGACTGACCCCGAAGATATATTTGTTAGGCAGAGAGTCAAGACAATAATAATAAAGTAATTTTAAATAATAAAGACTAATCAAAATAATAATTTTAATAATAAAGATTATTTTTAAATTATGAGTAATAGCTAAAATAGATTGTAATTGATTCCTTAGAACATTGGAATTTTAAAAAAAACATACTTTGTATTATTAGATATAAGAATCTAAAATATATGAAAAAAATGTAAATACGATAATTTATAGTACAGTTCAAACTATGAGAATAAAACGCAATAATAAAATAATGGACGCACGACCAACACATTAATTATTAATACTGATAACAAATTACTATTTCAACTATGTTCCACAAAAGATAAAAATAAAATGACAATAATTGATAGCGTACATGGACTTTAACATTCATTAATTTTTTGAAATACTCGATTTATCGTTACATCAATATTATTTGAATCCGACTTATTTACAATTCATCTTTAAATATTTAAATTCAAAATAATTACCTACGGCTATTTAAATATATTATAATTATAATACATTATAACATATTGTTATATCATCTTTTTAAATATAATTAAAATTTTAATGATTTTTTCCCATTAACACAAGTTTGATAAAATATAAAATAAATATTTTTTGTATATGTGTAATTTGCCGTACATAGTTTATGTAAGTGTCACATCGATAGACATACCAACCTGGCTTCTGGTATAATTGTTGTCAGCAGTTTAAAGTATTGTAATTATTTAAAATTCACAGTACGATACAAAAAATGATTTGATTAATAAACAAATAAATAGCCATGTCAATTTTTACAAATTGCCCACTCAATTTAACTCAACATTTTCCCAAATGACATTTCTTTTTTAAGTGAAAAGAAAAAATTCTATATTTATAACAACCACTTTCAAATTAAAGCCATACTAAACAAGATTTCTCGCTTTATGTTTTAACGTCCATTATTCCCACCGAAATGACTAAGCCTTAACTTCTTAATGACTATACCTTAAAAACTCTTTAAATAAGTATAAAATATACTTTAATTATTAATTAATAATTTAACTAATCAATAGTATAAATAATAACTAATAAATGTTAGTTTAAATAAAATTTCCAAGAAATATATTATTTTGGAAAAACTATTTAAAATAATATGTTAGGTACTCCATTCCAAACAGTCGAATAAAAATATACTTTAAATAATAAATTACCTATTTCAAATAATTTATTACTTTTAAATTACCTATTTTTTGTCGTTTATATAAAAAACGACTATGTTCACCTAAAGATTTATTTATAAGAATGTAAGACCTGTGTAATTTTAATAACGCACAACTTATATTTTTACATTGCCAAGACATTGGCAATAGGTCAAATAGAATTTCTTGCCGTGACTATAATACGACATTGATGTAAAACTAATAATGTTTGAATGACAAACAGATTGTCGTACTCATTGTCATGTCAAAAGTTTATTACACATAAAGAAATCAATCATAAAAAAATATAGAATACACAAATGTTGGTAAATAAAAAACTAAGAAATAGATTTAAGATCTAAAAGCCAATAACAAGTGCTCAAATCATTAGTAACATTTAAAATTTGATCGATAAGAACTCAGTATAATTTAGAAAAAATTGCATTTGAAAATAAGATAATAGGTATATTATATAAAAGTCAGGTATTGATATCGGTTTGTCCTTATCTATTCTCTCAAAATGATGCGCAGCCATCTCAAAATGTAGATACCAAAAAATGATATCGGGTATCATACGCCGAGTTAGGCGTATTTTGAATATTATTTTTAATAAAAAAAGATTTTTTTTGTTCAAGTTAGGTAATTATGTTAATTTAAAAATATATACATAAATAAGTGTGTAAAACAATAGGTTATTATTTATATTATGTTTTAATTATTCAATAATGTTTTTTGATAATTCATTACACTAAAATACTATCTTTTATTTCAATTAATACATTATTCAATTTAATTTTGTTGCTCTAGTATACTTAATTACATTTTATTTAACTCACTTTAGTCAGATAATTAGGCAGGGACAATTACCCGTATCTTAAATGCTATTCTAATACAACTATAATATATATATATATATATAGTTATATATATATATATAAAAAAAACGTGAATTTATTAATATTAATTTAAACATTTTGATGTCAGTAACTACTCTTACAAGGAAGAAGTTATAAATCAAACAAAATAATTAATATTGTTAATATTGAGCTGATAGAAAAAAACCTTTGAGTAGGTACCTAGAAAATGTGTAAAAAGTAATGCCTTTTTATTATTGAGTATGTCGATTTGTTGAAATATACATTTTTAATCTTCATCAGAGCGATCCTAGATATATAATATTACGAAATAAAAACTGTACGACATCATAACTTACCACATTCTCAGGCAACTTTTTTCCAGGTAGGTATTTTACATTTTCATGGGTCGTATTGATTATCTCGGTCAATTTCTTTCCGTCAACCATTTCTTCATAAACATACATCTTAACGCACGAATCAAATGAGTCCAAACGAGCTGCATTTGTGCCGATTATTTTCGCTATAGCTGATCCCCTGAAACAATATTGTTAACAAGGTTATTTTTTGGCCGAGATAATTTTCATATATTTTGCAGTAGCGTATACAGGGGAGGGTTTTGGGGGTTCAAAACGCCCGAAATTTGTGGTTGGTACGGCACATGTGCGAATTAATTTAATCAAAATTAATTTATAATATTAATTAAATCTATTATTATTTTATTACCCCCCCCCCCCAAATTATATCCTATATACGCCACTGTATTATATTATATATTATTTAAAATTATATACAATATTATATGTTTTGGAAACTAAGTTTAAAAATTTTACTTCTCTAGAATGTCTTAAGGACAGAATTGTTTTTAAATTGTAAAATTAGTTATTTTTGAATATTAAATATTTGCATTGCAGCTGTACTTTTTGAACATACTGTACATAATAATTTTTGAAGTGGATATATTTAAATTGTAGATGTCCTTCAGATAACTACTTGACAAATAGTTAACCTTCAAAGGTTAAACAGAAAATCTCATATGAATATTAATTAGTAAATTTTCTCCACAAGAGAAACTCCTTTCTTACAGAAACAGATACTACAATTTTATGGATCAAAACTCTATCTATAAATATAAAATAATTAATTAATTAAATGTGATCAACTATCAATGAATAATTTAATGAAGTAATTTAAAATTGAATATTTGCCTAGTACAAACATTTTTAATGAACTCGAAAGTCTTCATAACTATTTTTCAAAAACTAGCAAATTGTAGGGAACTGAAATAATTTTAATAAATGAACTAGCATTATAGGATCGGTTAGGTTAGGTAATAAATAAATAATAATAATAAATTAGGTAATAAATAAAAAACACTGACAAAGACTATAATGTAAAATTTAAATAAAAAGAATAGAAATAACAATATTGTATAAAATCATTGTAAGACTTAATAGATTTTATTCAAATTTTTTTTTAACCTAAACCAATTGTCACTTTTTCCATTTCATCCGAGTGGTAGTTCTAATACTTTATTATCGCCGAATAAAATCTAAATACACATTACATTTAACATTCGAATAATTAGACAAAAAAACCTTTTTTTTCTACACTACGTACAATTAAAAATTTAAGAAAATAATTTTAACAAAGTGTCCTTCTGAAGGGTTTTTCTTAGTTTTAATTTGTAATAATGTAGATGCTAATATTTTACAGATTGTTCATATACTCAATAAATGGTACTTCTTAAAAAAAAAAACGATTTATTCATTGAACTGAGAATTATTTTATAAAAAAAAAACGTACTGGATTATAAGTATATCGTCCACAAGTACAAAAAAAACTACGTAAATTAACTTATTATAAAATACTTCAAGTTTTACGTCAGGTGCGAAAAAAAAAAGACAAAATCAAAATTACAGAATACAAATTAAATAGGTATTGCGTTATTATTATTTTTCATTTATGAAATTACCAGTTTCCAGATCCCAAAATGCACACCTTCCGTTTAGACGACATAGCGGCTGATGTTAATATTTTTTAGACGAACGTCCAAAACAAACAAAATTAAAGCACAAAATCGACAACCGGTGACCGCAAACAGTTTTCGACTCGGAACACAAAACTAAAATGACTATCGTAATTTGTATGTTTTTTGAATAATAATAGTACCTATCTATAACAAAACTCAAAAGCAAATAATATAAAAATGAATTGGTACCAATCACTGATCAGACATTCAGACAGAGCCAAATGCGTTATCATTCGAACCGTACAATATGACCTTGACCTACGATGTGATGCCAATACAGGCGACCAATTCAAAAGAAAAATGTAACCGATTTTTTTGTACACAATTTTTTACATTTTTTAATTAATGTAAAATAAAATGTTAAAAAATGGAAAAATTATACACATGACGCGAGTTGGTACGAAAATATCGAATTATAGAAAATCAAACGGATTGTACGAGAAAATAATAAAAAAATGGTTACTAACCTAAAATGTTGTGTTTACATTTTTTTCCGCGCTTTTTGCGTGCCATACAACACAAGTTACAACAAATCGTACGCGGTACGACACACGAGTTACGCGGATGGCACTAACCACCATGTGCGATATAGATAATATATTGTAATATATTATTATTATTATTATATATACACGTATATAATATATATGTACATACCGCCTGTTCAAACTCGACCGTCGAGGGCAATCGTATAGTTTACTTTTGTGTTTTTTTTTTTCTAATCGAGTTAGCTTCTCGCTACCCCAAAAAGTGTTTGCTCACACGTCTTGTCCGTTGCCGTGAAAAAACAAAAATCTTCCAAAAATAATGAAGTACATACTCGTCACCGGCGGCGTAATGAGCGGAGTGGGCAAAGGAATTATCGCTTCGTCCATCGGCACTCTGTTGAAGTCTTGCGGTATACATGTGACTTCAATTAAAATCGACCCGTATTTGAACATCGACGCAGGCACTTTTTCACCGTACGAACACGGTAAGTAAAACTTACCGTTAGTGATCCTGACGTAGATATTAAATTTATCAAATTTAATTTCGAATCTGTACGTACATACGATACCGAACCGATACGGTCTTTCGTACGGTTCTCTTTATAAAGGGCCCATTCCAAGATAATACGATTTGATCGGGCCGACAGGATCATTTTTTCAAGTCGTGTGTAGACGTGTCATCCGGTTCAAGTCTTGTCGGGTGGCCGCGACATCTAATCGCCTGATAAAATCGGTTCGTCTGTAGTGTTGTCGGGTGGATTTGGCTTATTAGTTGGGTCTTCAGGCGTTACGTGTGTAACGATTGACTACGCATTTGTTTGCAATGGCTACTGTTAATACAGAGCCTAAAGTTGTTATAGATGTATAAAGATTTTCCTTGTTTATGAGATAGTTTATGTAAACAGTATAGAAACAGTGATACCAGAAATCAAACACTTGAAGCCTATTGCAAACATTTCAAAAAGACTGAGAATAGCGCAACTATTGCAACATTTTCTATGTTAGTTTAACTTTTTTTTTCCCAGGAGTTAATATTTAATGTTGCTGCAAGTGCTATACCAATGTTTTGTTGTTTCGATATAATAGGGGACATATTTGATGATGCGCATACTAGAACAGTAAAAAACAACTGATCAAGACATACTGCAGGTCGCGTCTTCTATACGCAACACCTTAGACCGACAAAATTGTATCGTCTGTAAGGTTTTTAATCAAACACTAGACGTTTTTTACAAACGTCTTATACGTTTTACAAATGTTTTATAATTAACCAGACAGTTTAGCAAAAAATATGGTGCACTATTTTTGGTCCGACCATAAGGGCAACAGTTTACAAACAAGGATAAGAGGTAACATTTTTTTTATATATCGCCCCCAGAAGAAAATTGTAAATATACCACTGAGTCATACAAGTTCAACTTAAATACTATGATTCAGTATAAAATGACTACTATTTTTTTTTGGTGATTTTCATCTTTCTATTTTATGTTATTTATATTTGTAGAGCACGGGAAAAAAAATAAAAGTCACCTTTTTTTTTTAATCTAAGAAAAACATGTATAAAAAAATATTTGAAAACACAGTCTAAAAAATATGCAATGTGTCTAAACAATATAAATCGATATCTTCTTAAATACTAGTTTTCTATTAGTATTATTACATTAATAGCCAAATGGCATTTCAAATGCAATATTTTCAGGCGAAGTGTATGTACTAGACGATGGTGGTGAAGTCGATTTGGATTTGGGCAATTATGAACGATTTTTAGATGTCACGTTACATAGCGTCAATAATATAACGACCGGCAAGATATACCAGGAAGTGATAAATCGAGAACGACGGGGCGATTACTTGGGCAAAACCGTTCAAGGTAATCTACTGAAACAGACGCCATTATTCTTTTTTAAGAGATTGTTCATTTAAACCCAATATATATATATGAGGTATTAAAATTATACTTACTGACGTTATGTTTTTAGTCATACCACATATTACCGATGCAATTCAAGATTGGGTCGAACGAGTTGCCAAAAAACCTGTCAGTATAGATGGAGTACAACCTGATGTAAGTTATTTTAATGTTTTTCATTTATATATAAATATTTTTATATTTATTACTATACATACTTACATACATATATATATATATATATATATAATCAAACAATAACTTGTCTTTAAGGTTTGCATTGTTGAACTCGGTGGCACGATTGGAGACATTGAAAGTATGCCGTTCGTTGAAGCATTTCGACAGTTTCAATTCAAAGTCAAGAAGGAAAACTTTATATGTGCGCATGTTTCTTTTATACTTCAGGTAAATATATTTATATAATTTGTTTTAATAATTCAGTTGTAATTGGCTAATCTAATTTATTTTCTTGTATATAATTATAGCCAGGTGCTACTGGTGATGATAAAACCAAACCGACCCAAGCTAGCGTACGAGAACTTAGAGGGTTGGGCTTAATACCTGACCTTATAATTTGTAGGAGTACAAAACCGTGTTTTAATGTAGAACACGTCAAGAAAAAAATATCAACTTTCTGTGATGTAGCATTGAGACAAGTATATAGAAAATGTTATTTTTTTTTATGATTAAGGCTTGAAAGATGTTGACCTAAAAAATGTTAATATGATGGTTAATAATGATCAAAAAATAGTATAATAAACAACAATTTTAATAATGCTAAAAGATAACATACAGTTTATGTTAAAAAAAAATAATAATAATAAATATTTTCTTGTTTTCTATTTACATATGTTTAATTTGTCAAATATGTGTGTTATTCAACAGTGAATTGTTTTTGGTGGTAACTTTGATTTCACATATTTTACAAAATACGATTTTGTTAGTTGCAAAATAAAATTTCTGAATTATGACACAAATGCAAGTGTTAACAATGAATACTAACCAATGATTTATTTTTTGCTCTACAAATGACATTTATAATGTTAAAATATTACAATTAACCATAAATAATAACTTATTATTGGTCATAGGATAAAATTCCTACTGATATTTAGGATCTGAACAAATTAAATAATATAAAATATGCAGTTAAATATTTTAAAAATTAATCAAATTGGCCAAACGAATAAAATGTCAAATAATGACAAAATAATACTAGTGGATTGTCTTTAAATTTTGTGAAAAAATAAATTTGTTATTTAAGCAATTTGTTAGAAAAAAAAATTATAAAAGTCATCAACTTCCGAGTCCTAATTATCATACTAACCAAAGAAATCAATATTAATTTTAAAAAAATGTTGTTTCGTAATTTTAGGTATTGTTTATGCACGATTTAGATTCAATTTATAAAGTGCCTCTTTTTATGGAAAAACAAGGTGCCTTGAACTTTTTGCTGGATCGATTAAATCTTCCCATGAACGAGACGCACAATCGGGCTTTTATGAAACAATGGAAAAAATTATCTGACAAGTAATTATTATTTCCATGATAACTATATTATTAAAGATTTTAAGTTTTTGTGAACGATTTTAAAAACAATTGTAATAGACATTTTTTCTTTCTGAAAAACTGTTTACATGTTAACACACCATCTTTGGGAATCATTATTTATTACAACTGAAAGTGATAAATTTACTTTAAATAAAACCACTGATGCAAAATTGTAGATGGTAAAAACTATTATTTATATAGGGTAATCCAAACTTCATATAAGTTATTTTATTCCTACAAAATAACTATGTAAGCTTAAAAAAAGGTTCTGAAAAAATTCTTGTATTATACTATTGTATTTGACTATTTTTGATGATAGTTATATCGTATGTATTTTCGAGATTAATGTTGTTGGGTGTTTTTTCGATTTTGAAATGAAAGGGGTGAACATTTTTTACGATTAAACTAATAAACTAGATATTGTGTATGATTTCTGATTTCTCTTTTAACAAATTAGGAAATAAAAATCAATTTTAATTAAGACATTCATTTCTCCTTGAAAAATAATTTTGTGGTATTTTTTTTTAACATGTTTGATTATGTTAACTCACAATCAAATTAAATATTTCTTTTAGAGCTTTGCCAACTTTTCATACTTAAATAGTAAAGTTTGTACGATTGTGTTAACTTTCTATGTTAAGAATATATTCTACTGAAAATATGGACTGGTTAATTTAAACATTTTATACAAAAATACAAAACAAAATAAAAGTTGGCAATTGATTTTTGAATAATGTTGTATATATTATTCAGGATCTACCTTCAGTCTTATTTTCAGACTTTAGATCCTAAAACTACATCTGAAAAATAGGAAAATAAAAAATGTATTTACCCGGGAGAATAGGTTAATAATATTTGTTTGGTTTCTTACTGTATATTGACAACTTGCTAAATCTATAAAATGCCCCACTCAAGTTTGGAATTATTTTTACTGTTTTTTTTTATTAGTTATTGTAGGCTGTAATTACAAGTTAAAATTTAATTTATTGATTTACTAAATAGTAGGGGAAAAAATTAACAAGTTTTGTGATGACTACAATGAGTATTCACCTCATCATCATCCACATAAATTTTAGATTAACCCCCGGTTAAAAACACTCATGAAAAAATAAAAAAAACTGAATTGAATTTACTCCGCTCAGCGTCAAAGTTAAAATGTAATTGTCATAGTAAAATATCATAAAAAATATATGTATATTTTGGTTGTTTCAGGTTGGATAACTCACAAAAAGTTATCAAAATTGCTTTGGTCGGCAAGTATACCCAATTGAGCGATGCTTATGCTTCGGTATCTAGAGCACTAATCCATGCCGGAGCATACATCAAACATAGAGTGGAAGTGACAGTGAGTAATAAATATTTATTTGAAGTTTTAATTGTTATTAATAATTGTTTGTTTCATTAGTATGTTGAAGCAGCTAATCTCGAAAATGAAACTAAATTGACCGACGCGGTTGGTTATCACGAAGCCTGGCAACAACTATGTCGTAGTGAGTAAGTTTATATTTCACTGTATTGGAGGACATTATTATACATTACTTTTCATTTACATAATTAGCGGAGTGATTGTTCCTGGAGGATTTGGTACTAGAGGCGTGGAAGGCAAGATTGAAGCTTGTCGATGGTGTCGAGAAACCCAAAAACCATTCTTGGGAATCTGTCTTGGAATGCAAGCTGCTGTAATTGAGTTCTCTAGGTAAATTATATAAAAACGAAAATCTTAATCTAGAGCTATTTTACTCAATATTTTGCTTTACCATTGCAGGAACGTTTTACACATAGAAAACGCCGAAACAACTGAAATTGATATAAACGCCAAAGAACCATTAATTGTCGAAATGCCCGAGCATTGTCCAGAAAATAAAGGCGGAACTATGAGACTTGGAAAAAGAACGACCATTTTCAAAAAAGACAGCAATACATCAAATATTTGTAGGGTTATTATTGTAATAAATAATACAAAAAACCTTTCGTATAATTCTAAATTATTATCATATTTTTATTTTATTTTCAAGTTAAACTTTATGGGTGCCGCAAAAATATTGAAGAACGCCATCGACACCGTTATGAAGTCAATTTAGATTATGTCGAGCGATTAGAAAAATCTGGACTTAAATTTGTTGGTACTGATACAGAAGGAAGACGTATGGAAATTTGCGAACTCAATGATCATCCATATTATGTAGCCACACAATTCCATCCGGAATATTTAACAAGACCTTTGAAACCGTCCCCGCCTTTTGTGGGATTGTTGTTGGCGTCGATTGGTAAACTCAGATCGTATTTGGATAATGAATGTCATTTAACTCCCGATGAGAGTTGCTCCGATAATGACTCTGATGGTAATTTTATATTAAAAGTCTAATGCAATAATTCAATTTTTTTTTTAATGAACTTTTTTTTGTGTTTAGATTTATCGGTTAAACTTCAAGATCTCATTGTAACGTCAACAAACAGTAAGATTGTGGTAAATGGTGAAGTGTGATTTTTTAGTCTATCATAATGATAATTTACTATTGATTCTATTGTATTCCTGATTTTAGTAACTTTTTTTTATTATGGCTATTAACTACTCATTATTGTAACTTAACAAACTAGTAGTTACATTTTTCAATGATTTGTAATAAAAAAGAATAATTTAAACAAATGAGTGTTGTGTCTTACATTGAGTGAAAGAAAGAATTCTTATTAAATGCCAAAGAGTTTATAAAGTTATTTGATGGCAAATATTTCATTATTTAATTGATATATTTTGAAAAAATTGTTGGAACTTTTTTTTAAAAAAAAAACGATTTTTTATTATACAATTTTTTTAAAAAACTTGCCATGAATAAGCTGTTAAATATTATGTTTACATTGTTTTTTTTTTATTATCAATAGTCGTGTATAAGCTATTTGCCCTTTACATGTTAATGTGATAATTAATTTGTATAAATTCAAAATTCTAACCTATGAGCAGAACAAATTACCGACGTTAACATTTGAGTATTCATCTTTTAATATTATATTAGTTTTGTGTTTTACCAGTTAATAGGTTTATAGTATATATATTATATTTTTATTTTATGGTTTTCTTTACCGTTTTTTGTGTTATGTGTTAACTAAACTATTAAATATTTTTGGTATTTCATAAATTAAGTTAATTGCTTTATATTTTAAGTAATTTTGTTTAATCACCCATCCTTCCTAAAATTAAAGTTAAAATTATAATGTAAATTACCACCAAATTTATTAGTAAGTAACAAGGATTCATTATCCAATTTATTTATTTAGATTATCACAACCTTAACTTTTTTTTTTTAAACGAATCTCATTTTTCTAATACAACTTAGTCAATAGACAATATTGAATGTACCGATTATATATTTTTTTAATTTCTTGAACAACTGTAAAATAAAATTAGGTATCAGCAAATGAGTACTTTTCAAGAACCACAAAAATTCAGGTCATCACTTAAGTTTTAAGAAATCGTTTTTTCTTAATTTTTTTTAACTTACAATTTGGAAAAAAAATTACAAAATTGAAAGAAAAAAAAGCACGTCGAGAAGTAGTATAACCGCTTGATTTTTAAATAATAAATGTTGGTATCGTTTTTATATTATGGTAAATATTACGTTCAGAGATGCATTCATACTTCTTAGAATGAGTCAACTCTTTGTGAATTGTGTATAATAAATAACTATAAAGACTCCCGCTGATAAAAATTGCATTTTAAACAATAGCACATTTTTTATTCAATTTTTAAACGCGGTTACGGTTACATAAATATTGCAAAGCGTGTGCGGTGAGCGATAACGTTGATGTTTTGGTCCATCGGCCATCGATGACCCGTACATCTATGCAGTTTTCGAGTTGTTCGGAAAACCCGTAGACAAAGGTCTAGTTAAGTAATTTTCTTTATCGTCAAAATGTCAATGTCGAAACCGTCATCTTGAAAATTCCTCACAACATTTTTTACCGTAAGTATAAATTTTTTGAAATTAGCAAGTTAAAATCGTTTCTAAATTTAAATAATATAGTTGCACGCGCTAATACAGAGCTAATAATAATTACATACATACATTATGAAGTCGACTGTCGAGGTCTGGTAAACTTTTGATTCATAGTCAAACAAGCAATTATTATTAATATTAATTATTGGTGTTATTATTTTTATTTTATTTTTTTGTACAACTCGAAGCCAAACAACACTATTACAATTACCTTTCTTGTTCAATTGTATTTCCCCCCTTTTGTAATCGATAGATAGGTACAAATGTTTTGAGTTTGGATCGCACATAAATTAAACGTTAAAAAAAACAATAAAACCGGGTAAATTATCACTTAACGTTACTTTTTGTATCCTAACTGATTTTTTTTTATGTTCGTAATTTATTCCATTTAATAAATTATCATTTAATTGAAGAAATGATCCAAACATTTAACTTTTAAGTGTTTAATTGAAAATACGTTAAAAACTATCGCGTACATTTATAGTTACTGACTGATCCAGTTGTTGCTTATTTTATTTAAAAAATAGGTAAACCCAATGGTAGACAAATGATAGAAATAAAGTTTTATCACTATCTACAGTTTACAGTTCAGTACTTTTTTAAAAGAATAAGTATCGACAAATTACTTAGCTATTTTTAGCATTCCACCTCTGTAATCACAATTATGTTTTAATCTAGTTGGCAATCTTTAGTTAGGGGAACGGAAAGCATAATATTTTATACGAATAAAGACTAAAACGCGTAGCCACTTGTCTACAGAACCGATTTCAAACATTTTTTTTTGTTATAACTTATAAATTTTAATATGTTTTCTATGGGCATTAAAAAGCCGATTTTTTTATATTTGTTTTCAACATTTTACTATAATCGTTTATAACATTTTTACTTTTTCTAGTTGTTTTAATAGATCTAACTAGTTTCCTAATAGCTAAATGGATAAATCGGTCATTTACCCTTTAGAGAAAAGAGTAAGTTCTGTATAAAAAAAAAAATTGAAATTCGACCAATAGATACGCCAGAAAATAACTTCTAGCAAAGTAATTTTTCATTAAAATTTCGCTATAACTCGGAGAAAATAACTTTAAAAGTTTTAGAGCAAGAAAATCTTAATATTTTTTCACTTAAAAATCAGTCGGCATATTTGAAATGGATAGCAGATTAATTTTTGGCAAATATTGCCTATCCTCTTTCCCATAATAAATAGTCCTTTACGTTTCCCTTAAAATATATCACATATCCATGAATTATATGCATGAACGAACCAGCCCAGTGTTTCAAAACTTGGTCCGGATATATTTTACCAGATATTTAAAGCACAACATATTTAAATAAATAATATAACTTCAATAACACGTCTGTCAATACAGTACTAACATAATACATCACAAAAAGTGCGAATTTTCAATTTTAAGATATCTATTAGACTATAAGACATACAGTTATACTTTTTAAATTTAAGTGGCTATACTGCATTTGAAATATTATTACACCCAACAATTGAACCATTTAAACAATTAAATTATGTATTTATAGATAAATACAAATATTCTATTTTAAATAGAATATTTTAACCTATAAAATGATTATATAGGCAACATTAGACGATCACGTGTGTATTGTTCGACTATCTGTCGGCTATGATTTATTATGATATTATAACTATTAACTAGTATAATAGCTATTAGTAGGTACTAATAATAAATACATTTTTAATAACATTAACTAATTTGTGAAAAAAATCAAACAACCGATAACCATTTATTTTATAATCGTAGACAAATTTTGAAATAAAATCGATAGTTTTGTAAATTTTACATTATAAACTATGGACTTCTAGAGCGGGTTTGACGAATGAGGGCAATGTCCGTTTATTTTTAAAGGGCTTTTACTAGGCGTTGGTATAATTGAAAATAATTGAAACACAATATTTTAAATGGTCGCGACTACCAAAAAATGTCTACAGGACATGCATGACGCCATTTTATTGTATTATATTTTTACTAATAATATTACTACTGTTAATATGTACACAGTACACAATTTAGCAGGGCTTTGAACCCTAATGGAACGTCATATAAACTCTAAAAACCGATACCGATATAACCGCTAAAATAATTAATTATTTTAGACGGTATACTGCCAATTTATTAAGGTTTTACGCAATTTTTTACAACATTTTAAGTTAAAGCGAACTGTAATGTGCAATTATTAGTTCAGTTATTGGTACCCTTTGTTTAGTAGTTTTTATTTTTCGAACTACCACAGCATCTTTATATAATTTTTTCATCTTAACATAGATACACAAAATGCGTTTTACTCGGGCCATGGTAGTTTAAGAACAAAACACTTATTATGAAATCGAAAGACGCTAACATTTTAGAAACAGTGATAAATCGTTTTTTTGCATTATTCATCTTGGTACTTGATTTTATAAAAATTATTTTTTTTTGTTTTAACAGTGATTATTTTTGTATAAGAAATATTAAAAAAAAACGGTAATATGTCAATGTCTTCAAAATCTTGTTTTCTTTCATTTTCATCGTGAGTGATTTTTCCATTTAATCATTTTGAGCCGAGTAAATTTAAGCATTTAACATCCTCTTAACTAAAACCAAACTACCTAAAGTCTAAAACAGAACGAAATATGATTACAGTGTAGTATTACTTTAACCCACAAACATTTGTACGATCACTTTAGTACAAAAAAATTTTACTCGATTCTCAATCCGATTTACCTAACCTACTTTTTCTTTTTAAAGTTTTAACAATTTTTTTTAAAATAAAAATTTGATTTTAAAAATGTACGTACAACGGATTTGAAAAAGAAGTTCAATTGCTGATTTTATCCAATTGTTTTTCAAGATCCACATAAAAAACGAAGCGTATTTTTTTAATGTGACTTTAGTTCTTTATTTATTTTCTAATTTTCAGCTTATAGCGAATATGGAGCAAATCGTTAAAATTTTCGTCCGTCAAAGCTACTTCGTAGAAGAAGATTTAGTCGTTGACTACAACTTTGAACAAGAAGTAAATATTTTAACGTAACATAATAGATTGTAAATTGGTTTGTTTTGTTTCAATGCAAATGTATTATAAAACGGCCGTATCGGTATAGGCTCAAGTCAGCATTTCACCGAAGGACTGGATCGCTTTGATACCAAAAGGTTGGTCGGGTGTAGACGAACAGGTCGCTTTTAAAAATGTCAATATCAGTTGCGATGAAATGAACCACCCGATCAAGTCTATTGTCATGGAGAAAAGTTGTTTTCAAAATGTGGTGGAATGCGAGAAACAGTACCAGCTTATGTACATCGGTCAATATTTAGAGGTGATTAATAATAATAGTTATAATATTGTTGTTAATTGTCTAATTTCCCGACGAATTTCAACAGATATTGGGCAGAAGTGAGTACTTTACGTTTTATCATCAGACTGACGTTTGCAATTGTGTCACATTATCGGGAGAGCCGTTGAATAAAGATAAGCCTAGAAGAATCTCAGTAAGTGCTTAGCCGTATAAAGGTGGGGTTTCTCTAAATGCAATCTAAAATGGTGGTTTTTATGACGCAAACTTTTTATTGTACAAGTATATTATATTGTCGTAATCGACATCGTATAATTAGGTTTTTTTGCTCCATTATTCTAAAGCTTATTGTTAGCCAACTACAAGATTTCCATTTTATATAATAAATTGTATTACCTCCACATGGTGTCAATGTGTTAATGCAATGTGCATAATAGAATAAGACACCCAATAATTCGTGTAATATAATTACAAACAATATGTTTCACACAACTAGTAATATTATTAGGGATAGAACTTCTTATTTCCTAGTTTTAACTTTTAAACTGATTTTGCACTGTGAAAACATTTTTTTTAAATATTTTATAAAAATAAAAATATAATTGATAAAACGAGTATGTAATAGAAGTGAGTACTCTTTAATTGGGGGCCATAGGCACGTGCCATCATATCTTGTCTAATTTGGAAATATGATTCTGAGCTTAATAACATATAAACTAAAAAATTTTAAGAAAGTTTATTAATTTTTTTTTACATGCTTATAGTAATATTTTTATGGCAACTTTGACTAAAGGCAATAATATACCTTAATAATTAATAGGTATTATTAGTTAATGGTAATCGAATTGGGTAGGTATTAAAATATATCAGTTTAAGGCGTTTTCGAACAAATCCAAAACGTGTTTTATGTTCTTGACTTGTTGGGCCAATTTGTGGACGGACTCCATTTCTCTAGACAACTCCTCGCACTTGGCCATCAACTGGTACATCGACTTTATGTTGGTATCAATCGAGTCGCAAGTCTTGCACACCACGTCTCTGTATATTTCCAAACATTCCACGGTCAGGGCGGACATGCTGTGCAAAACTCCTGAAAGTGTCTCCGACAAAGTATCCACGGAAGCGGCTATATTCTTTGCTTCGTACTCGATGTCGTCCAGCAACTTCAAGTCCAAAGTGTACTTCCCCGAAGGTTTGACTGGCGTGGTGGGACTCGTTTGCTTGAGTTTGGTCTCCAGATCTTCGGCGACAAACGTCACCATACCGCCGGTTTTGGTCACCGTGCCCTCGAGATTATTCAAAAAATCCAATTTACCCCGTTCCGCCATGTCCCTGGAATGCAAAAAAAAAATTTATTTTTCAATTTTTATATTTTAGTCATTCAACGAACGAACAAGAAAATGACATTCCCTTCACTCGTATGGAAAAACAATCAATCATGGATAAAATGTTTTTGGGCTATCTCCACCACAGTTTGTTGTCCATGTTCATTTTTCTCCTCTCTACTACCCACTCTCTGTCTACAATATCCTCCCCTCCCTCTCTACATACCATCTTCGCCCATCCCCATCATTATTCGCTTGCAGCTGAATTTTGTTTTTTCGTTTATTTAAATCTTATCGTATATTTTATTGTTGGTTTCGCGAGTCGGCCTGATTTGTAGTGTTCAATTTTATAAAAAAAAAAACATATTTATTAATGCTGGTAACAACTCCAATTTTTTTTTAAGTTAAAAAATATGTACATTTTATTGGGTGTTTCTTTCGCTTTTGAAGGCGAAGGGATGGACCAATAAAATATCTTTCATGTACGATTTATAATCTTTTTTTTTTACCATAATAGTCTGTTCTCGTCCGGCGGCCTCCTCGAAGACAGTCTCCGACGCCTCGCGAGTTCTACAAAAATCGTTCACAATCGCAAATGAACGTCGCCATGAAAAACGAGGGGCCCAAGCCCAGAAATTGTCCGCAGAACCTGTGCAGCAAATGCATGGCGCCAAACAACTACAGCGCGCTCGAAAGCAGTTACCTCACGAAGGTAATTTACAATATAAAATAAATCTAAAACATTACTAAATATAGTACATATAATATGTCCGCTACAGGTAAAAAATTATAAACGTGATTGGGTTTTTGGGCTTAAAAAACGAGAGCGCCTTCTTCCTTGACCTTATATATCCTTCCATCCCTTTCTATCTTCCCTTCCCTTCCATCCCTCCCTCTCTTTCATCCCCTTACTTCCCCTTTTTGGTGTCGAAACGACGCTGAATTCCAGATAGACCCCTTCCTCCCCCCAAAAAAAAGATACCCATGTTAAAATGTCCACTTCCTCAAGAAAAAAACAATTATGAACCATGGATATAATATGTTTAATGGCACCCACGCACTCCTAAAAATATAGCATCCCTCTTTTATATCTGTTATCACTATACTAACCTCCTGTCATGCCTCCTTATCACACTTTCTTATACCTCATTAACTTAAGGCCAGTTAGTTCATTCATCTGCTTTGAAGTTTCAAGTTTAGGGCAGGAGGAAATGTGTAGTGTAGTATTATTTTTATCTGCGCGCACTTTCCAACTGCACTTCCCCTCCCATCCTAATTTTTCAACTCTTATAACTTTAAAAATAGTTGTCCAAAACTGTTTATTAAAAAGTCAACATTTTTAGTACATTATTCTCAATTTAAAAAGTTAATGAAATATATGCACTACTATTAAAGTTTCAAAATTGATATAAAAAAAAAACTAAGTTGGGAAGGGGATAAAAACAAAAGTGAAAAATTGAGATCATATTATATAAAAACAATATGAAAAAAAAATTAATTTCTTATTAAACCCTATGAGATGTATAGTAGCCCATGATAAAATAACCACTTTGTATATATTGGTCATTTTTACCGCATACACGTGTACCTATTTCGGTTGTTTTTAAGAGGACACTACTCCGCCCATTTTTAAGGAGTAAAGTATGCCATAAATAGGTCAACTACGGGACGCATTTTGATCTTATTGAAAAATGTGACGCTAAGTTTTGTACTGACCCGCCCATAATAACATAATCCAAACAAAAAATGACTAAAGCGGCTTTGATCTCTCTAGATTCAGAATTTGACAACGGAAAAGGAAGTGATGGAACAGCGTTTGTTGAGGGTGGAAAAAGATCTAGTGCAGACCTTGGATGTGCTCAACAAACAGTTCATGTTGAACAAAGCGTTTTACCAACAAAAAGAAAACATTCAGAGGTTCATCGACGAGCTGGTCGAGGGCCTGTTAAACGACGGACGAATAACGTTTTGGGCCAGCGATCAAGAGGTAAAGATATTGTGTTAATTTTTTTATTGGAGTAATATTAAATAGGATAAATCCGTTTATTTTTTCGACAGCGACTTTAATTATTTTCTTCATCATAAGAAAATAATAACAAAATACTACAAAAGTTAAATATTTAGTTGAATACACTTTTTTGTGTAAAAGTTTGTTAATTTAACTCTTATAAATATTTGTTTTTCTTTATGACAAGTTCCTTAACCGTTTGACAGTGTTGGACGTAATCGATAACTTTATTATCAAATTACATTGTCGATTACAACATAGTAATAATTAATTGATTTCACATAGTTTACTGTGGTCAGAGAGTTCGAAGACAAAGAACGATGCTGCGGTGCGATGGCAGAAAGTGGTGACGTCTCCTCCATGGCTTCGCCCAGGTCGCCGCAGACAACGTCCAGGGAAGCCTACTTGAAAGCCATTATTGGGCAGCAGGAGCAGACCATTCAGCATCTGGTCGCCAAAATAAAGGAATCTTTCGATCTATTCCTGAAAGTATGTATAAACGGCTGCAATGCCGCCGCCAAAAGTGTGTACGTTAGTCGTTTTTTGGGAGCATACGAATTGTCTCCATTTGTTACCGTAACTTTTAAGGCCATAAACTACTAGTTGCCTCCCATAGCGGGTAGTCAATATTTTTCATCCTAATTGTCTTCCGAGGATATGAGAGTTCCCTCCCGAAAATTTATTTTAAGGGGTTAGATGTAATTGGCGTGTTGAAAAAATAGGTTAAAATAAATTGTTTACTAAATAGTTTTGTAATGTATTTTGTTTGACATATAATACCAAATTTTTACAGAATATTTCAAGAAAAGTTGAACAAAGTTTATATTGGTAGTGGTGGTCTCACCCTCTTTGAAAACATATTTTTGTGAAAAATGCGTTTAATGTTACACAAAATGCATTCCAAGTTTTTAAAATAAATACATTTTACAAATTATAAACGAATATACTTCAAAAAAATCCCAAAAAAAATCGTATTTTTGAAAAAACCTAGTACCTCCAACCACTTAATCTAAGTAAAGCCTGTATTTACCAATTTATTTATTTATCAATAATATACCAAATTGTATTCAAATTTAGAATAATTAATTATAGTGTGTATTTAACACTGTATGTGCATTTGATAACTGATTGCAATAATTGTGTATATTGTTAAAATTAAAATAACCATCAACTAGGTTTTATCAGTGGTTGTATCTAAGCGACAATAATGTATTATATACCTGGTGTAATGTGAAACAAAGTTTAGCTCCTTTTTCAATTTCAATTTCTCAGTCTGCTACTTCCATCACAAAATTGCACAAATGAAATACAAATTTAAAACAATTTATCACGCTATCACCGCTTAATAAAACACCACGGACTGCTTTAGACTATAACAACAATGATATCGGAATACCCAAACTCCAAAGATAACAAGTAACAACTATGAGACTACAGCCGTCAAACGTGGTTACTTTGTCATTTTTTGTTGGAATAATACATTATACAAATTATTATAATTCATAGTATACACTATTACATACAATTTAGCCGTAGGTAATATTTATTTTTAATAAAAGCTGTAATAAAAAAAAGCCAGTATTATGGGGGTCGAGGAACTTTTTAAATTGTTGTTCCAATGAAGTACCTTTCAGTAATGATTTCTGATCGATAGACTTGCTACATGAAAGAAATCGGATCAGCGGTTAAAAATATAACGTGGATCCAGACACAATAAAAACCACATCATTGTAAAAACAATTCTTTCTCAGCTCCGCGTCGAAGCTAAAAAATATTGCAAGTACAAACATTTTTAATGATAATTACCATACTCTTGGGAGGCAATTTGGATAAAAAATATTTATAACCTAACTTGGGAGGCAATTTGGATAAAAAATATTTATAACCTAACGTGGGAGGCAACTGTACTGTTTAGCCTAAAATGTTACGATACGACTTGTAAAGTGTCGTCAGAGGCAATTCGAATAGAATTTCGGAGGCAACTAGTGTATCATTTTAACGACTAACCACAGAAAATGGGAGGCAATTAGTAGGCACCGGTCTTTTTTTTTAAAAATGGTTTAATCGTGTTTCCAGGTAAACCCACCGGCGGCATCGGCCAGCGAACAACACCACGATTTGGCCCTGTTGTTGGACGCGGCGGAGAACAACAAGTTGATGTGCAGTATAGGCTATATGGACAGCTCGGGCACTACCTATTTCACACCCCCGCCGTTTTTCCCCGAACCGCCGCTGTACGAGCTTGGCGCGCACGACCATTTCGTCGAAACCGGCTGTAAACCGGAGAAAATGGTTTTCACCAATTCGCATATTACAGATCCGGTGAGTGGTGAATAGACTTTGGCATTGTGGTTGAATAATCGCTCAAATCAAAATATTGTGATTGGCCAATTTGAGCCAGATTGGGAACGTTGTTTTTTATTAGCATCTTCCGCAGTTGTTATTATTAAACCACAGTTTTTTAACCATTCTAAGTCGTATAGACAATATTTTATTATTATGCTTATAATTTTTACAAAGACTTACAAGAAACTATCTTCGCCGGCCGTTACAATAAACAGAAAGCAACAAGATGTACAGGACGAAAAAAAACCATGGAACGCGATCCCGCTAGAACAACCGAACAAATCGAAATTGGACGGCGATTTACAAAACAATAGTCTCGAAAGTGACGATAAAGAAGAAGTCGTAATAAATAAATGTAAAAATATCGATTACGACACTGGAGACGAAAATGAAAATACTATTTAGGAGAAAACATATGTTTTTCCCTACAAAAATGATTGTAAGTATATTACGTTAAATAAAAAAAAAACTTTTCAACTAGCCAAAACCTAGCGCACGTAAAAATTAACGAATTAGATAAATTGTTCAATTAAAAAATGTTATAATAAATAACATTTTTATTTGGGAACATGATTAATCATTCGGCAAAAGACATTTTCCAAAACTTAAATCTAACATTTATTATTTGACTTACTATTTTTATAGCACTCTTATTTTAATACTAGTGACAATAACTGTTTTTTAATACAATTTGTATAATAAATAAACGAGACCCTCGTTATGCCTACATAATTGACCCCCGCTTTTTTGTATAAATGTTTGTACCTATATATGAAAATTTTCTGTGCAACTTTAATCATTTTTTTTTAAATGCCGTTAAAACGTTTTTTTCAAATACCTAATACATTTTGTATAACAATGATATTTATAAAATTAAAAAAAAAACTAATCAACGTGGTCCATAAAAACACATGTAATAAAAATATAATAGTTCATTTACACTTTTGATTTAACCATTATCCGACAAGATTAGCGATTCATTACATTTTTTTAAGCATATTCAATTTATCGACATAATATGAATTATTGCTATTATAATTTTTTGTTTTTATTTTAGATGTAACCTGTTCTAAATACTCAAAGAAACGTACGAAGAAAAGCTATCGAAGAAATTTATATTTATTTTTAAGAGAACCAAGTACTTTTTTTTTGCTTCATTAATTTTTGTTATACCTACCTTTATTTTGATTATTTTCCCGAGAGCTGGTTTACATGTTGATTTCACATAAGCCCGAAAATATAATTGCTCGTTTTCCAAAAATCGATTTATTATTTAATAATATATAATTTGTTTGTAAACAAATGATTTAAGCGCAAACGTTCAAAAAAAAATTATTTTGTTGGTATATTCCTCCCTTTTCTATTAAAGATCTACTATTCAAGTTGTAGTATGTACGTTTTAGTCAATTTAAATAATAGCAACTTGTAGTTTTACTATGTAATTATGAGAAAACCCTAAACTGTATATGAAAAACCTATTAGTTATAAGTAAGTTGAATTAAAAACCGGCGTTAGAAACAAAATTATTCAGCGCCTAAGTCTTTTAAAATCCGAAAAAATAATACGATTATATTTTTAACAATATTGTATTACTATTATTGTTATTACATTTTATATTATAATGAAGAGGAATGGATGCCCTATATTCATTTTTGATCCAATAAAGTACCTCTCAGTAATGATTTCTGATCAATAGACTTCTTACACGAATAAAACTGTTAAGCGGTTTAAGATATATCGTGGGTCCAGACACGAAAAAAACAATTTTCAATTATAAAAACACATCTTCGTCAAACCAATACATTTTCAGCTTCGTATCAACGCTAAACCTTACCAAATATTTCCATTTATTGTATTTTTGCTACAGCGCTGCTTAATTTTGAAGCTTAAATGGTAACGTAAAAATGCAATCATCTTTTTAAATTAAAAATAATTTGCTGCAATTTTTTACTGGTCTATATTCAGGTTTAAATAATTACTTTAAAACTTTGTTAGAGTATAAAGTTCATAATCTATTTCAAGATAAAACGTGTTTTGAAAATGGTTTATTTGTCAACGTATATCGATCTAAAGAATATTGCATACAAATTTGGAAAAAGTTATAGCCTGTCGTAATTTTAAGTTGAAAAATATGTACATTTTTGGGTACAAAACAAAATTTTAATTTTCTTAGTTGTTATTTTTTGTTTACAATGATATTACAAGGAACATATTAACGTGCTAACTGCTAGAGACAATGTTTTTATTATTCACGTGTAATCAGATCTATCTATTAATTTAATAGTATAAAATAATTTGCATCTATAGTCTTCGTGTCAATTAAAAAGGTATAATTGCTAAAGTAAGAGAGCACAACAATAATTAAAATAACGTTGTGTTCGATTGATGAGTAGAATGACTAGTATATATATTTTTTTTAGTCTTTAATAGTTATCAGTCACAACGAATACGCGTAAACAAAATCATTACTTATAATTTTTTTTCCTAGTAGAGGATTTAGCTGTAGCCGTAGACAGCTATCGGGAAAAAATTTATATAGGTATAGTAATAATATTATGATCCATTGCAAATGGTGGCGCAGTATGACGTTAATGCAGATAAATATTTATCGCTTTTTTTTCTTCTAAAAATCATATCAGGTATGATAAACGGCGTGTATCGACATCGTGCAATCGTGAGTCGACGAATAAATAACTTAACAACATTATGTTGTCTTTTTTATTTTTCATTTTCAATACGTGGTCTGAGCTATTTTATATTTAAAAAGTAAATATAGAAAATTCATCGTGAAAGGGATGATACAACTTTGAAGACTGTATTAAGAACTTCACCGCCTGTTTATCGACTGTTTTATGAATTTAATTACCATTTTTTTTATTCTAAATAGTGTATTTTGTATTTACGTTTTAAATAGTTAAATAGGTACCAATTTGTATTTCTTAATTAAAGTAGCTATTTTGCCGATCTCTGTTAATTGGTACGATTTCTAACCTGTAGACTTGCCACCACGGTGTATAGAGATATCTTCTAAGGATATATTGGTATATATCGGTAAATACCTAGGTATGTACGCTTATACTTACCCAAGTATAAGGTGTGATGTCAAAGGGAAATATCTAGTAGAATAAGTCAGAAAGAAAAAAAAGGTCCGCTACTAGTTTGAATAGTAAACAACAAACGCTTGAAAAAAAAGGACAGATAATAAATATATAAGTAGGTATACCGCTATGTATGAATAATTGTGTACGTCACATGTTCAAAGTTCTTTTTATAGTAACACCACGTTAATACTATGTTAATCTGCTCGTTTAGTTTTGTCGTAAAACGTGTGGTTGGCACGTGTCTTCAGAGAATATTCTAAAACTAACCGTCTCGGCGGCGGTGTCTGACGAAAATCGAAATTTAAAATTGGCCGATTAAAACAAAAGCATACAAACACTGTTTTGTCAACGAAAATAACCGACAGACTTGCGACTCGGCCTAACTTTGCCGACGACACAATCTGCTGTTAAGTGCACTGTATTTATTATATTTTTAAAGAAATAATAAATTCCTGCTTTTTTTTTTTTAGTTGTCAATTGTGTCTCTATCGACCTATCCGCGCCGACAATAAACGTCGCTTATTGTTAGCATTTAAAATACACTTAAAAAAACGACGCGTAAATGACGTTAAAAACAGTCTTTGTAATCGGTAAATAATATAACACGGTAATGTGCAGCCGTATTATTATTATTATTGATCGACCGGGGAAAAAACTGGTTACTTTCAGGCGAACGTGACGCCAAACAGGTTTCGAATGAATTATTTTTACAATAAAGTTCCACGCACTGCGGCGCACACATTACCATAATATTAAAGCCGCGGCACAAAACGACAACAATGGTACAAAATAATATTATTGTCAAAAGTCTGTAACCAATCCGAAGGTATTTTCGCCGTCCTTGGACAATCCACGACCTCTGACACGGTTAGATAAAATTCAAAACAAGTTCACAGATGTGTCCGTCGAAACAAATAGACAAGAAAAAAAACATTATACATCGGCACGCAAATTATTCTTACATAATTATTTGCAATTCATTTTGACGGTTTTTAAACGGTATAAAATCAAGCGACGATTGAGGGGGGGGAGGGGAAAGGGCTCCGCTACTAGTCTTGGTTAGGTTCACTAGCGAGTATCGATGTACTGAAATCTGAAGTCAATTTTTCTCGAAAATCGTTTTCCACTTAATCGACCCACGACTTAATTTTTAATCACTCTACCAGTTATTGGGAGTTCCTCAATGGATGTGTTATCTCCACGCACGCGATGCACTGCTAATTTTTAATATATTAATAACATGCTTATTGACAGACGAATTTATCTGCACAAAAACAGTATAATTATCTAAAAAACAAACAAATATGACCCAGTCGAACGTTACTCCTCGATAGAGCACAATTTACCCAAAAGAGCACGTCATGTATAGTGCAATACGAAGTACACTTATGACATCTGTGCATTATGTTTTTGTATAAACTATAATATAAAAGAAATAATTTGCTGATCGGATTCAACTTTTTTTAAAAAAATGTATTGAATATTGTACAATAAAACATGTTTAACTGAAAGTAAAAAAAAATAATAATCATGAAAAATCAAATTAATCGACATACCGAAAGTCGGTTTATTACTCCATAGCTATTTCTCATAACTAATATACTCATTAGGGTAGTGAATCCAAAAACAGGTAATGTCTAATGATATCATTTAAACTATGTTAGTTAGACGTCATAATGTCTGCGGTTGAAATTTGAAAGATAAAAAATATATTATATTATGTATATTTTGTGTGTCTATACATATTCTAGTATTTACAGTTTATTCGTAACAAATAGCAAATGGATTAAAATTATTATTATTATTATTATTATTAACACGGTTTTTTATGACTTCTCACACGTCTGTTTAGAAATAAATGTTACAATAGAAATAAAAGTACAATATTCTTGTTGAGGTTTTGAATTTAATTAGCATTATAACTCATTTAAAATAGTCGGGAAATATTATTGAAAAATTGTTATTATTAATATTTGATGTTGTTCATTGTAATATTATAAAAATATAATATTGCTAAGTAGTTTTTTAATTTGTGTTACATAACACGAAGTTGATAATGCTGTTCGATGATATCATATAAAAATAAATTGCATAGGTAATTATAATTTTTGAAGATCAAAAAATACATTTAAAAATTTGAAGGGCACAGGGGAAAAACGGTAGTAGTAACATATGAAAATTTTAGAGTATAGCAAAAACAAAGTTCGTGAATTCCTCTTCCTCTTACAAAAGAACAAAAAAAACTCATTAAATGCTATTTTAATAAAAAATATATTTATTTAAACAATCTATTGACTACTAACGTTTTTCCCCTGTGCCCTTCATTTATTAAATTACAAAATCAGACCTTGTACATAATATATTTTCTAAAATAATATAATCGACCAAACCTATATTGTGTAGTTAAGAAATTCGACATGATAATATAACATTAGGTTGTGTCTTAAAAATGTTTTTACTTACTCTCCTAATCGATAGTAACCTATTTAAATGAAAAATACCAAAACTTTTAAATCCTTAGCTTAACTCTAAGTCCATCCTCATGATTTTGTTTTTTTGTATTTGGTTAACATGTAAAATTTTAATTTTTCATATGAAAATTCTACAATGAAAACTAATACATTTTTTTAAGTTTAATAAATATTTTTAAGTTATACATATAAAATCACTTTCTAGAAATTTCACAACAAAAATTGTTTTATCAAGTTACAGCCCATTGAAACTAATAAAACTGATCTTGATGTCGTGTAAAAAAAAAATTACCATGAAATATCTTAAAAGGACTATTACGTAGTGTCATAATAGATTTAGGAATTTTTTTTTCAAATTCAAAAAAAGGTTCATTAGTTTTCATGTAAGAATTTTAGAAAAATTAAATTTGTTTCTTAATCAAATGTAAAAAATATAATTAACGAGAATTTACTGAGAGTTAAGCTAGTTAACTTAAATTTGAGACATTTCTGATTTGAATAGGCTACTACGTCGATTGAAAAAATAAGTCTTAGGTAAAACATTACTTCTTCGACCTTTATTAAACAAAACATAAAAAATAGTCCAAAAAAAAACTTGCACTGTATGAAATGTTAATAAAACTAGTATGGTCTTACGGCATAAAACTGTGGGGCTCGGCTAATTTCTCGAATACTAACAAAATGCACACTTGTTCATTTAATTTACTCTCCACTCTACCAGTCATGGAGTTACATCAATGGATGATGAT